TTCACCACTCTATAAGCTCAGAGCGAGCCGAAAAAAGCACTGTTAGACATGGGCGGAGCCTCTCTGGTGGTTGACTAATCAGAACAGAGTGCCCGAGCTGACCAATCGGAGCACACTGGGCTCACAGGGAGGGGGGGCAAGAGCTCCAACGAGCCGTTTAGGACAGAGTGAATACCGGTGAATACACATACTTTACAGAGATGCTGTATGCAAAACCAATGTGAGTTTGGAAAATTGCACAGTATAAATCTATTTTAGTATACCTCAACAATGGAATTATGATCAGTGGAAATGGCCATGACATGGGCCCTTTAAGAAAACCCCTCAATACCACACCTTTGTATACTTGACATAGAGCTGTCTTTGCTGCTGCCCCTTTTTGTCCTGCTTTATTAACACTGTGATCAAAGTTATTATTCAATCACAGGAAAAATAAGGTAGTGTCCACTATAACCACATGCAGTAAGACACTCTCTTTGAGTGGGCACACTGTATCATCTTAAATTACCTACTAAATTAGGCCAATTCTGAATAATTCAAATTAATCTTCTCAATCAAATATTATCTTAAAACGCCTCCTTACTTTTAAGAAGAGATCACCAGTCATGAGCTATCGCCAATGACTGGTGACCTAATTTGGTCTTCTTTTAAATTCCACTTTGCATGTAGACCTACACCAAATGTATCTGTATTTCTACAGTTTAGGACTGTTGTAACAGTGTCTAAATAAGTTAATAATGCAGCCATTTGAAGAAGGCACGAATGTAGATTAAAGAGCAACTTGCAAGTTAGAGACTGAAGTAAAAAGATATGATTCTACACTGTATTGAAGTAAACATGTATTATTTTTAATTGTATTTTAGTGAACAAGTATTGTTTGAACTGTTTTAAGTAATCACAACTGTTTTAGGTAATCACAACGGTTTTGGGTAATCACATATATAGAAATGATATTCTCACTTTCAACTCACTGACCCAGAGATCCTGTTCCACACACACACCGCTCCTTTTCACCCCCACACACAGATGTTCTTTTTAAGGTCGTTAAAGACATCATTATATTTGTGCACAAAGGTTTAATTGTATGAGAAAGAATAATTTATGTGAAAAACTCCCATGGGAAAGTAAGGGAGTGAATACCGGGGCAGAGATAAAGATTGACATTTGACCTTGTGAAACTTTGGAATCTCACGTTCTGGTCGGAACTCTGATTCGCTGTATTGAACCCGACCAGGAGTGAATCCAACCAGTAAAAACACCTGGGGGATGTGAGCAGCTCATACAGCTCCTCCTCACGGACTCTCTAATTCGCTTTGGAGTAAAAGGGGAAGGGAAAAGTCAACACATCTCCGCCCCAAAATATGAGTATGAATGCTGTTGTTTTTGTATGTAAAAATGCTTCTGGTTTGCTGAAGGCTGGTCTAGAGACGTGTAAACCGCATCCCAAACCTGAAGTCTGTACTTCTCGTTTCTTGAAGGCATGGTCTGTCTACCTGCAAACCGCATCACAAGCCTGAAGTCCGGAGTACTCTGTATAACTTGTATATGTGTTTGGTTTCCTACCAGTAAACTCAGATGATTGTTATAACTTTTGATTCCGGTGTTTTCAATTCCTTTCTTTATTTAATAGAGATTTCAGCCTCATCCAACGAACGGCGCGTAGCAGAGGTGGCTATCAGCCACCACAATAGGTGTTCTGCTCCAACAAGACCCCAGTGAATAAATGTGTAGGAACATGATGTATACACTAGATTTTCAAAGAAATATACATAAATATACACTACAGTGACATCTGGCGTCGTTTTTGTAAGACATTTTTACTTCCGCATTAAAAAAAAAACACCCGCGTGTGACGTCACATGGGGGAGAGCGGCCGGTCTAACGTATTAATAAACATGGATCACAATGCTAGTTTTGACACAGAAGAGGTTGAAAATGTATATTCGTATGCATATGACGGACCACAACCTTATAATTATGAGCCTGCTAGGCGTCCAGGAGCAGCCAAGGATTAGAAGAAATAACGGCCATCAGAGAGAAATTGAGCTGTGGTGTGAGGAGAATCAGTGGAGAACAGGGAAGCTGTCTTGGTGAGCGTTAGCTACAGTTAATGTTAGCTAACAACATCACAACATTGTAAAGTTAGCTATCATATATCCAACACAGTCTCACGGCATTTCGTGTTATAGTCACAAAATTAATCTATTGATTCGTGTTCACCAACACGATTTCGCCATTTTTTTCCTGTCACACAGAACGATTTTAAAAGCAATGTAAATAATAACAAATTAGAAGGAAAAAGACATTTAAAAAAATACAGATTTCAGTATTCTGACACAGAACGATTTTAGAAGCAATGTATTTATATTGGTAGTATGTTTCGTGCCTGCACCAAATAATAACAAATTAGAAGGAAAAAAAGATGACATAAAATACAGATTTCAGTATTCTGAGGCTCTGAGCCCCATTTCTTTTCCTCACTGACGGCAAAAAAACTCAGACATTATACAATTTAAAATAAAAGGGATAGGGTTAGGCTTAGGGTAAGATATTGAGTAAGAACATGTTTTTATGAACCACACAGCTTCTGGTCTTCCAAGACCCGACCGGACAAAAAGACGTGTTGCAGGCACGAAACATACTACCAATAGAAATACATTGCATTTAAAATCGTTCTGTGTGACATGAAAAAAAGGTGAAAATCGTGTTGGTGAACACGAATCAATAGATTAAATTAATTTCGTGACTAATAACACGAAATGCCGTGAGACTGGGTTGCATATATCAGGCTATAACTAAAGTAGTATTGATAATATAGTAACGTTACTGGCAGGACTGTTGATACTGATCCATAACAGAAACTAATGCGCAAGTATCAGCCGTATCTCACGTTACCTAACCTAACCTACTACGGCGGATTGGGCAGAGAAGGAGTCAGAGAAAGTTGCTCCCCCATGTGACGTAATATGATGCGTTTGACGTATGACGTAAAAAAAAACGGCTCATTTCCCCTCTGAATTCCATAGGCGGAGTTTGACATTTGCGCTTGGGGGCGCAAACCTTTTTTACTGACGTCAGTACACAGTCCCAACTATTGCGTGGGGTGCTACGGATACAGTAGCAATAAAGCCAGCGTTCACCGCACTGAGTATGACTTTTCCACATACGAACACAACTCGTCCTGTCATGCACGCCTCATGCCCGCCGTACACACACACACTCATATGGAAGGGGCGGTCTCTCCCCCCAACAACAGTGCATTACATAACTGTAAAGCTTATCATAACTGTGCACATCTTATACTTATTTGATAACTACTATATCCCTTGGTTACTTGAACATGCTACAATATTATTAACCAGTGTCCTACTTAGTGCAGCAGTAGACGCCTTAAACGTCCCAGAAATTGGATGTTTTAAAAATTGCTGCATATCCATTACTGCTAATTATTGTAATACAATAGCTGAATCACTTGTATGCAAAACAAAAAGCGAGGGAACTTGCGTCCTTAACCTCATACGTCACACACACACATGCGACTGCTCAAAAATGAAATTATTTCAAACAAAACATGATATTATTCAGATTTGTATTGTAACAATCATTTTATTACATCTATTAAAATATTGATATACGAAATATTTGTATTGGAAATGTTTTAGACGTAGTAATGCTGTAACATATTTCAGCCACTAGGGGGGGCAATGCCCTATGAATCCGCCTATGCTGAATTCCTGCCCTTATGTCAACTTTTTTAATTGTAATTTTCAGGCAAGGTTAAGCATAAATCTAGTTAAAAAAAAAAACCTGCAAGTTGCTCTTTAAAGTTAATTTATATAACAAATACATGTATTCTTTGTTTTGTATTTCAAATGTATAAAGATTGGAACATAACCTATAAACTGGGTGCTTCCTGGACTCTTGGTTGTTTGTTATAGCCTGTTGCCATGTATGTAAAAGACTAGTTCTGGTTTTGCCATGAAATTCCAAAGGTTATGGCGTTTACTCGTGCAACCGAGTCACATGCCCCATTTCTGTTCCCCTGGGAGTAGCTAATGCAGCAGAGAGCCTTGGGTGGATAACGTTGGGCGTCATCCGTACTCTTTGGGCTTATCAAGCTGGTAAATTAGCTAGCTTGCCGTTAGCCATTTTCTTTCTCCGCTATCAATAAAAAGTAACCAATGCAGATCAATTTAGACTAGCCATGTCGCAGCTTGCTGGCCAACCCTATCTTGCTAGCTGGCTTACCTTAGCTTGCTCGCTGGCTAATGTTGTGCTAGCAAATGACTATTAGGGGATATCTTACCTAGCTAGTCTGTGAAATGGCTTTACAAGCTGATGTCAAGAAAATAATCTGAAACTACAAAGAAAATCTGTAAAACTAAAGATAGACAAAAGTGATGAAAAGCAGAGAATGTTAACTAAGCTAAGGTTAGCCTGTGAACAGCTTTAAGAGGTGTCAGAAAAGTGACCATTGCTTCCTAAGGATAGCTAAAAATGTATTTGTAAAGGGCAAGCTAGTTGGTATCATGGAACCGATGTTCCATAATGTTTTTTAGGAACATTATAGATGGTAACGTCATTCTGATTATAATTAGTTCACATTATTGCTTAAGCTATTGCCCAGAATGGTTTCTTGTGGAGTATGAGCATGTGTTTGATTGGAGCGTCAGGGTGCTGACTGCACTTCATTTAAAAGCCACAGATGTCATTAATAATAGCAAGGGTTTTCTGAAGATTCCACACATTGCCTTTTAACTGTGATGGTTAGTAGATGATGAATGACCAGGATATATTGAGCGCCTGTCATTGCCACTGGAGTCACTGATTTGTAGTAGAGTCAATGCCACCAGCAGCATCTCATTGAGGGGGACATAAAGCTGCCGGTCAGGGCTGCAGGGTGAAGCGTATCAAGGCCGCAGGCACAGATCCTCCTGAGATGGAGCCGTTTGGTGTTTACAGAATTTAAGACACTGTACAGACATTTACAGGACATCAAATTATTGTTGTAGTTGAAAAAGACTTTTATTCAGTGCCTGGGAGAAACAGTACAGCACAATTTGTTATAAAAAAAATGATATCCACAGGTTCATCAAGACATCAGGAGCTCTACGGCCAGGTTAGTGTCTGAAATGCATACAAGGCTAAAACCTCTCCTTAACGGACATTTTTTCTGTCCCTACAACCCAGGACAGCAATCACTCCAGATAGATTAGCAGCAAACTAATCATTTCCAGCTTACTCACTAGTCGCTTTTAATGAAGTGGTAAAAGGAAAATAATTTCAGATTCAAAAGGCTCAATTTCAGCTAGACGGAATCTAGCCCTCTGGATGTGGGATTATTCATTACATTAGTGTCCATGTCCAACAAGGTCATTTAAATGTGGTGTGAAGGGAAAGCAACTGAATGCACCCGAGCAAAAAACACAACATTTGCATATGTGTGGAATACAAAGGATGGTTCCCATATGAACTTGTTTTGCAAAGCAGTCCTTGTTGTTTAATAAGGCACAGTTTCTGTTGAGGAGCTCTTTTGAAAGTAATTCAATGTTCTGTTCTGCGTATAATATAAAAGAGGGTATTTAGCTTCTTTTTTTTTTTTTTTCAAATCATTTTTTTTCCTTACATAACTTCATTTAAAAATAAATATCTATTATCTTCTTTAAAATAGTCTTTAAAAGTTTGCTGTTCCCCATCATAACCCACAATTCTAAAATGAAATTGGAGAAAATATGGAAATGGTCAATACCTAAAATAAAAAATAACAGGATGGATATAGCATTTTTATAAACAGCTCAAAGGTAAAACAATGATAACGTTAAAAAACAAAAAAAAAATCACAAACAACAAACATGTAATATACAGAATTTGAAAAAAAAATGGATACAATTTGAGAAGCTTCTCCGCTCTCGTTTCGCCCCTTGGAGAAAATATGTGCCAAAGTCCCAGAGAAAAAGGCCCAACACCCCCCTGTTCGACCCATCTCTTTGGCGTTTGTGGAGGGGAGGAGCAGGCGAAGCGTCTCTGCCAGGCAAAGAGCCACAGGGCCAGTTCATTGGACGCCACATGTTCACCAGGCGTGTTCTCGGGGAATTAAATCTGTGTTTAACTAGGGCCCAGAACAAAGAAAATAAAAGGGGGTATGGACGGGATTTATTTTTTGGAGTGTGTTGTGAAGGCGTTCTCGATGCAGAGGACGATGTAGGATCCGGAGCAGCTGCTGGAGCTCTGCTGCAGGAGCTGTCCGCTCTGTAGTGACGACGCCAGGCCAGACACGGCGTGGTCGCCCGTCCGCCATGTTTCACAGTAGTGGTCTGTTTGCCGGTGGCCTTTGTTGTTTGATCCATGCCAGACCATTTTCTCTGGCCTAAAGATAAGCAAAAACAAGCACTTAGGTCAAAATGTTCAATATACAGTATGAGTCCAAATATAGATAACCAACAAAGTTGAAACAAAGACTACTGCTAAAAACAGCTACATGATGGAGCTCAGGATGCTGTATTGAATTCATGTTAAACTAAATGAACAAACAACTTACCATGCGCTGTCTCTGAGAGTGTCTCTACCATCGAAGGAATAGATCGGTACATTCTCCCTCATTTTGTTTGTGTTGTCACCAAACATTGACTCCCAACTGTCGAACAACACTTGGTCCTGCGAGGAAGAGAATATAATGCCTTAAATTGTATTTCTCCTCTATGAATTCTTATTCATAAAGCAGCAAGATTCATAGAATATCCTTAATTTTTGTCCATAAGCTTACAGAATTCAAATAATGATTTTCATGGGACTATTTATTTAAAAAAAGTTGTAAGTCAACACAGGGATAGGGTCTACGTGATTTACATTTTGAAACTGTCTATCAGTGGGGTTCAGCCGTTGTTGACACCCTATGTTGTGTGAGCAGAACAATGCCACTTTCTGATTGGCCCTTAAGCAATATTACCACTCCTCCGGCAGTAGAATCTCACCTTGAGGTTGACGATGGAGAAGTTGTCGCGGTCGGCCCTGCGGACGATGGTGTACAGGTCCTGGAGCTTAGAGGACAGGAAGGCTCTGAAGGTTCCCTTCAGGCCCACAGCGCGGGCCTGCTGGAAGCACAGGAAGTCGGCTCCACGTATCCCTCGCATGTTGCCAGTTTGAGGGGCATTCAAGGCGATGATATGAAGCTGAGGAGGAAGACACAGGGTTCTGGTAAAACAGCTGCCTCTGGATGAACTAATCTTGTTACACATTGGTATAGGGTCAGTTATTTTAAATATATTTTTTGGGCCAGAGTGCTTTTTTTTACAAGATGCAGTGCTAAAATGGGGAGACAAAGGGATTGACATTGCCTAATACTTTCACAGTGCTATCATTGCAGCAGAGACCACTGAGCTATCCGGCACCCAGTAGTGATTTCTTTTTAAAATTCAAATGTTCTTAAAGAGTTTCACTGTCCAACAATGTGTGACCCCTACTCGATCTAAAGTAAGAATAGAACTATACCGCTTATAAGACTGTTGATACAGATGAATGCAGATGAATGCAGCAACAGGAATGTTGAAGATATATTTAAAGTCATTTAGAATCATTGTCCCTATTAGGTCATTTTAAAGTATCAACCTAAAACTTTCATTAGCTTGATTGCCATCAGTATTCTTTCATATATTGATTTTCAGTAAACATCAATACTGAATATGAGCAACAAATAATCCAAATTAGGCTCCCCACCCATCCCTTTCCTCTGTCTATTTCTACATAGCTATTTAAGGAAATAGCATACTCTTTCCAAAACACATTTGCCTAATAAAATGTATCCGATATGAACCCAGGACAAAAGAAGCAGTAATTGGATGTGAGAGGAGAGAAAACAAAGCAGCCGTTCAAAGGTCAATGACAACAGAAGAGGAAACGGATGCTGCTTCTCTGTCATATTACCTTTTTGTGGGGATTTTATTCTCTTCTTTAAATATGGCTTTTTTTCAACCAATTAAAACCTCCATGTCAAATATCTATTCTACATTATTACTTATTAACTGAACGTTTTTTAGGGTGACGGCTTACACTTATTTATCCTGCATTAAACGAACGTGATACTTCCATTATTAACTCATTGACATTTGTGTTGGTGGTCTCCTGATGGCGCTGTACTCACTCCTGATGCTGAGGGCTCCACGGGGACGGCAGGCTGCGGGATCGGGGGGCTGGGTCTCCTTGGAGTTACAGAGTGTCTGTTGTCAGTCTGGTGGGGGACGAACCGTCCGTCTGTGTGACCTGTCTGTCTCGGGTCTGGGAATCTGGGATCATACTGTGGGGGGTATCGGGGCTTCACAGGTGGCTGTGGTGGGGGCTCAATGGGTTGTATGACTGGACCCCCATGGGAGTAATGGCCCGCTCCGTTGTTCTGGGACTGATCCTGGGTGTTGGGGTACACGATCACAGGGGGGGGCTGGACCTCTGCCACCTCGTTCTCCTTTGAATGAAAATGAGAGGTATTAGTTACGAAATGAAATATAAGAAAAAGTGGTGGAGAAAGAAAAAACAAATACGTTTATTTTATTTCTCTTACCAGATCTCTGAAGAAAGGGTTGTAATCTCCAAGCTTATGGGGGAAAATAACTGATCATCAGATTCTGACATCTCACCTCACAAAGAATAAATCACCTGATCTGAATTGTAATACATGAAGGTACTGTATATCGTCTCTCTATTAGTACTTTTACATAAACACATAAATTAAAGAAGATGACCGTACTATGACTTGGCGCAGTCCATCGCGTACTCTCAGATAGAGGTCTGCTTTGTCGAGGATGTAGATGAGGCTGCCCTCGGACTGGCGTCTGGCGGTAGCTACCATTGTTTCATATGACCTCAGCACAGTAACCTGTGGAAGACAAATAAACAGAAAGTGCTCATCAGCCTGGAACATTTGATCAGGTACATGTATTTAAGACATAGTATGATCAATTGCAACCAACTGTTTGAATTCACTTATTACCAACGCCAGCCCAACAATATGGGCTGATACTAAAATGCAGTGAAGACACTTACCCCAGAGGAGAGGGTCTGACTTCCTGGTTGGCCAGGAGGACCGGGAGGTCCAGGAATACTGACGGCTTTAAAAGAAAACACATTGTTAATGATTTGGCGAATGAACAGCTTAAGTGGAGAAGGTCTCCAGGAGACAACAACAACAGTGACATTAGCATGAGGTCACCTCCTAAATAGTTGTACCATATTAGTGAGTGGTTTAGAAATATTCAGGATATTTAAAGATAGAACAATCCGCTTACGGTTATTGGGCCTGTATGTTTCGGGAAGTGCGGGAGGTCCTGGAGGTCCAGGGGGTCCTGGAACACCTGGACGCCCATCGTAACCAATCCCTGGGGTTCCTGGTGGCCCCTGGGGTCCAGGAGGTCCCATTACAGAGTCTCCCTTTGGACCCTAACATGAAAGAGAAAAATCCTAATTATTGGAATGCATTTTTATTTATTTGTCTCATTTAGGTCATTTCAAACAACTTTTGTTGATGTGTAATAACTGGAGTAACTGCTTAGTGTACGTGTCAATCAACAACGATAGTTTAGATGTTTTGAAATAGGGTACCAACATTAAATGTTACACCCCCAGTTTGGAGAAACAGACAGGAGCTAAGCAATGTACTGCGATGGATGCAAAAATGATTTCGAAATCTGGAAGAAAAGCCAACCCATTGATACCAGTTTAAGTGTATGCTAAATTAAAAATATGTTCACCCCCTTTCCCTTTATATGGGGAACTACAGCCATTGTTATACTCTCAATAGAAACTACCAAACTCTGATCAATTGAGAAAAATGTATAATATTAGGGGTCTACCACTAATTTAATTAGTTAACTTGTATTTGTGTTACTGTGTGACTTTGGTGAATCTGACCTAATGCTTTAAAACATTGATCACAATCCAACTAACCAATCGATGCAGCGTTAAACCAGCAACTCACTGGTCTACCCCTGATAGATGCACAGCTTTAGAATCCCGTTGGAAAGGGCTGTCTGACTGTAAGAAGTGACATGTTTTTAATATAGCGTGAACTCTTTTTACGTGACTAAGACCTGTTTGGTTGCTGTCCCCGGCAGCAGTACATTTCTCTGCTTCCTGACTTGGTTCCTTTTGGTTTTTCCAAAACTGGGAACGTGCCTACTGGTAGGTAATTCACTGACCATGTACAAGTACCTCATACAACCCCAACTCAAAACACCCAAACTCTCCCTTTAATAACCTGTTAATATACGACAGACTCTCTGAACTCACCTCTAGACCCGGTTTACCAGGTGGCCCCGGTTGTCCTTGTACTCCTCCAAAACGTTGGTCATAATATCCTCCACTCTGCTCTCCCTTGTCTCCCTTCACACCCACGTCTCCACGCTCACCCTTCAGCTCATTCTGTGGGAAAAATATTTACATTATGAAGTACAGTATATCCATCATACTAATAAATCTGACAAGTGCTATAGCGACAAGCTAGTTTACCTTGAATGCGTAAATATCAAAGTTAGGGGCTGTTCCTAGAGAAAGAAACAGATGTGCTTTAGTTATTAAGTACTCATAATTAACTTCAACATGGTCTTGCAGTGCGGTGATAAAGTTCAATGGTACAGTATGTTTAATTTATTCCAATAAGGATTTACCTGGGATTCCCGGCAGTCCATGGTCACCTTGCTCTCCTTTGTCTCCTTTAGTTGCTAGAACAAAATATAATTTTTTAACAATGGTGAGTAAGACACAATATCCCACAGGTGTATCTACCATTCAAAACTGGAAGCACCCTGTGTTCTAAATTTCATCAAATCATCCTTCAAATCTAGTCCGACTTGACGGCTTAATCTCCTGACAATGGAGTGTATATCCCCTTCAGGCTGAGGCAGCTGGATCAAACTGAAACTAAGATAGAAGTGTTTATCTCTGCAGACACTTTAAACCCTCTCTAAATCTCTCTTCCTTGACTGGCACTTTTACTTAACTTCTCCATTCTGATCCCCCTCTATCTTACAGTATTACGTATTGGTGCTTAATAAAACAAACGGTGTGTGTTGGAGGTCATACCTGGGTAATTCCTTGAAGTGTCGTCATAGCGCTATGAACAGAACAAATATTAAGATTAAGGACAGAAGGAAAAGTTTCACCATCATGGCTTAAACAACGGAACAAAAGCACCAGATAATGACTGAATATGGAAATACAGAAACTGTTCCACATTACATGAAAGACTAACTGGAACATATCGATGTCCATGGTTCAGGTGTTGGTGCGTGTCTACTTACATTGAAGCGATCAAAGGTTGGTCCGGGGGGTCCAGGTGGTCCGGGGTTTCCTGGTTGGCCAGGCACTCCCTATGATACAAAGAAATCCTTACTGTCTGGTGTGTTGATACTGAATGTTAAACATTAATACTTATTTAATTTCATGGCATTCTTTCAGAAATACACTGACAGATCTAAGAAATGTACAGTTTGGATTAAGATTACGGAAGCTTTCTCCATGAATGTAAATCAACATGACTTCTCCCACTGGCACAAGGTTAGCTGAACAGCGGCAGTGACCAGGCTCAAATGCAGAGAAGATCCCTGGGTCAGTTGTGAAATTAAAGAATATTTGGGTTTTTGAAACCCAATACTTTTTATTGTTACAAAGCATACTTGAAAAATATCTCTTGTTAACACAAAAGCTTGCTAGCTCATCTGTTTCTGATGCTTCATTTAATGCAAGATTGCAGCTAAACATATATTACTCAATATGTTTAGCTGATTAGATATATCACCTTTACATTTTTTGGAAAGAAGGCCAGTCACATCCATGCTGCATCCTAACTCAAATTGCTCTCTTTTGGTTCTATTATCAAAAGTTGAGTTCCTGCTACTTTTTTTAGAACCACCTTGGGTAGATATTGCACTACGGCAGACAAAACTAAGCCATACAATGTGTACACTATGTCATTAAGATGACCATGTGCAGATGTTTCTCTGGTTGCCAATACAAAGGATTGAGCAAGGGTCAAATTGAAGATGACTGATTTAATGGCTGGGGTGGAAAACAGAATAGAGAAAAGGACCAAATGTGAGTCTTTTGCCTTCATTACACCCTTGCATAGCTCGAGTAAAGTAAACGAGTTGATGTTAAACTGTATGTTATAACCTTTGTCACTTTGCTCATCAAAGACATTGGTGATATTTTTAACACTTACTGGGTAGCCATAGCCAGAACCTCCTGATGTATCTCCTTTCTCTCCTTTGTACCCGTTCACACCAGGACGACCCTGAGGGGAGAGAGTCAACGATTAGTGCTGCCATACACTTGGACACAAACCGGATTCAGATGTAACTATAGCCGTATACAAAAGGTCAGTCAAATGTATTTAATACTTAGTACAAACACAGAATGCTATAACATATAATATATCAACTAAGGACACCAAGGTTCGGTACTTACAGGTCTTCCAGGCATTCCAAATTCACCCTTTATTCCAGAAGGACCATACGGGCCCTACGACAAAAACATCAAGAAATGAAAGACAATGTGAGATGACTGGAGAACAAATGGAAAAGCCAGGTCGTCATTCTTAAAAAGAATGAGTTCTCAGTTAACTTATAAAGGTAAAAAATATATATATATTTAGCATATAAATGCTGAAACACTTACAGTGAGTCCAACGGGTCCAGGTAGTCCACTGTCTCCCTACAGGCATGGTAAAGGAACCAGATTAGTTTCAAAAGTAAATGTACCACCTTCATTTAGGCAACACATTTAGACATTAGGTAGAGACATCATATACTATAGAGGGGAAATTCTTATGTGTTTATGTTATGTGATAAACCCGACCTACAGTAAACTTAGTGAGACTCACTTTCTGCCCCGATAGACCATCCAGATGCAACAGACTTCCATCAGGTCCAATCACTAAGCCTGGTTCACCTTTCTCACCCTGAACACAGAGCAGCAGCAACAATGACAGCACTACCTCAATAACGACCAGTTGCTCAATTAATAGTTGAACAAAAAAAGAATGAAGACTCTACCTTCACTCCATAGCCTGAAACACCCGGTTCTCCTCTGTCACCCCTTGGCCCAATAGGACCCTGTATGATAAAGACAATACAAATATCTCAATTGACCATGGGTCAGGGTAACAGTCAGTTGGCAGCAAACAGTCTTCGATGACACAGATCAATTCAAGATTTTCCATTAGCCATTTCCATTCTGTCTCCACTGTGCAGATTAGAAATTGCTGAGTCGACCATTGTTTAAAGTGCTGATATTAGTGGATGAGATGTTGTGGCCTTCTATGAGTAGAGGCATGGCCAATCTGCTAGCTGTATTGCTGAGAAGCATAAATGATTGCTAAGTTTCGTTGATGCCCAATGTTACTGTTAAATTATTATGGGAATTGAAAGAAGTAGTTAAATTCACCTCGGTAAGAAAAACAATGAAGTACAGACAATTCAACAGAGACCGGATTTATATGATTAACGATTTACATTGAGGAGATTTATCCATGGTCAACATTGGAATAAAAGGGTCACCAACCCCACCAATATCAGAAAACAGAATTAAAATATTTTATGAAAGAAAAAGACCAAAACTAACAATGAATGTATCCTACCAGTAATAGCTGTCTGTAGCTAAAGCCTGATATATATTCCTCTGAGACCCAGATTGATTAACTCTTAGCTTTTCTAAAAACTACAGTGCCCTATGGAAAATACTTTGACAATCACATTTTAAGTCTCTCTTAGTTATTATTAACACTTGATAGTTTGGTTCATTTGGTTAATCCTAAATGTCTTTGAAGAAGTAGCGTCATTTTCTCATTGACTTCTACACAATCAAACCTCTTTTGGAAAATGGTGGAGTCTCCCCCTGCTGGATATTTTAAAGAATGGAGGTTTAAAGCACTTCCACAAAACCAGAAGTTACCGCTTGGGAATAACAAAAACTTTGGCGGACAAGTATATCTATCTCTTGTAATAGCAGATTTAAAGTAGAGGTTTCTATGGCATTTAGTTATATTTCCTAAAGATTCACTTTTATTAAGACCATTTCTTTCAAGTTCTTTAGTGAATGGTTTTGAGTGTTGCAGACTGGGTAGGGAAGTTAAAAGTGAACATTCTCTTGGTTTTAGTATTTCATGGAATACACATGTGGATTAAGGTTCAAAATAAAGAGGCAACAGAAAAAACTTTTATGATGGGAATAAGAGAATGGTACATTAATAATATAACAAATGGAGACTTACAGGGAATCCAGCTTGACCAGGTAAACCATGTTCTCCCTGTACAGGAACATATAAGACATAATTACATGGCCTGTCATCCGTGGTACGTTTTTTAAAGATGACAAAATGAGTAGAAAGCCTCATGTGAATACAAAACTGTAGCTGTGTTAAATAAGATGAGGTTGTACCTGTATCAGTATTAATATTTATATTTAAATACATACCGTCCGCCCAACATCACCAGCCACACCGCCGGCCTGTAGTGACACAGAGAGAGAAAGAAGAAGTTAGGATGAACACCATCACTGATCTAGACTGCGGTTAGCTGTGTGTCAGCGTAGTGTGTGTGCTTTTGGGTGTGTTCCTTACATTGCCATCAGTCTGGTAGATGATTTGTCCCGGGGGTCCAGGTGGGCCGGGGGGGCCAGTGAGTCCGGATCCATCCCGACCTGGCTCACCCTAAAACCACAACACCACACGCAGCAAAAAGATGAATTACTCTGTTACTTAATTAAATGCTTAATGTGACATAACTTTAATTTTTATAATGAAGATAAAGAATACAAGTTTCTTCACAAACTAACAATTATTTTTCTTTATTCTTCTCATTCTTAGGAGACTTTAAAGGTGTGAGAGATCCAAAGAACTATAACAAACTCTCTGACTGCAAAGAATCATACAGGAGTGAGATGTGTGTTTGAGTAAAGTCAACATATTGTATTTAAATGATATTCACCCTGTCTCCTTTGTCACCACCGTCACCCTTTGGTCCCTAAAATAAAGAGGAATGCGACAAAAGATATGTTAAAGCACTTTCCAACAATACATCTGCTTCATTATACAGAAGAGAAACAACCATCTCATTTACATAAATAATAAATGCACTGCCTCTATCATATTAAAACGTGTAGAAACATGATGACCCGTTAAATGAAATGATACATTTAGGAAATGCATAGAAACTTGGCTACGACACACGTTTGAACAGATTGGATATGCAACATTCTGCCTGGTAAAACGCGCTGAAATATATTAGGTATATTGACAAAATAACCCATACTCAAAGGTCTTAGTCCCAATTCCAATCTGGCCAAGACCTCCCCCTCAGCATGCAGCTCATTGTTTACGGCTTGTTTTATAAGTAGCCCGTTTACAAGCCTTTTAATAGCTAATAGAAAGCTAAATCGTCTGTCGATTGGCTTTTTTTAAATCGCATGCAACCAAAGCCTGCTCAAACATGAACGATGAATACTACAAACTGAAAACCAGAACCGCTCCGATACCAAAATCTTGTCCGGTTGCAACAGTTCCTATTACTGCTGGATATGTCAGAGGATTGAGCTTACTCCATGACAACTCAACAACTTTAAGATGAAGACCATGACATGCAATAGGAAGGTCTTGAAAAACCAAGTAAAAGGTCTTTGTTTAACTTTTATTTCCAAGATCAAGAATGAGCGTCATGCTTCAATTGGAAATGTCTTCTTAAAGATCCCAGTATCATAGTTGTTAGGGAATCATTTGCTTAGGTATTCAACCTTCGACACAGTTCATCATTTTCTCCTCTCACTGTCTCTTTTCTCACGGCATAGGTCTACGGCCTTGGGTATTGCTGCTATCTCTCTTAAGGAGGAGCAGCTTGGGCGCATTGTTGTTGCCAGTCTATGACAGCACAAGCCGCCATGAGGTAGTTTACTGTTCAGGAACGTAGGTTCCCTGGCGCACATTCTTTTCTATGGACGAGAGCTCTAGTTAGATTCAGGGTCCATATTGCTTTAGTCTCGCTGATGAAGAATGTTGATTATTACACTCTGAACTAGTTAAAACCTCGAGCTGCAGAAAGAGTTCTTCAGAATTGGTTTGGCAACCGCTGTGTCAACTCGTGACACACCACCTGTCTTGTCAATTCTCCGGCCGTAACTCCAAATAAACCACCAGTGTTTGCCATCAAAGCTCCAGCTCTCCTCGTGCCTCTTTGAGTCCTGACTCTCCATTGCTACAGAAGTTTCCCCCACAATAGTGTCTTTAAACACTTATTGCCTGACACTGATAAGCTGTCTGATGTATTGTGCACCCCTGCTGTTAAACTCTTCCAAAAACATTATGGCCAGACAGGAAGTGCAAAAAAGACAATCCTTTTTCCTCAAACAGTCCAATTGCTTGAAACAGAGGTTGTGTAAGGGGTTGGCATTTTCTTTACTACTACTACTGCGTCCTATCACAGTTTGAATGACCTCAGGCTGAATTCTTCACAGTTTTTCCTTAAAAAACGAAACAATTTTCTAACCCATTGATACAAAATACTTGATGAAATTACCTATTTTGCCACGGGGTGTATTGTCCCCAGACATTTCAGAATGCTAAATATGTGTGCCTCTTCGCTTGTTATGTAGCAAACCTTGCAACAAAGTCATAAACGTATACACCCAAAATCAGAATAAATAATACATTCAACTCAGTGTTAACACCATGACATCTTATCCAACTGCTGCATTCTTCTTTGTCTCCTCGATGTGTTTTACCTGAGGTCCGGGGAAGCCGTCCAGCCCGGGCTGTCCGTCTTTTCCGAGGGACCCTTCACTGCCCTTCTGACCGGCGATACCAGGCAGCCCAGATTTACCCTGCAGAGGTAACAGAGATACAGCAGTGAACACAAATAATTAATTGAAATATAGTTACCAGAATTACTACCTGTGATATGTTTGCTTATACTAATTCAACTACAAATCAACACCTTACTCTGCAGCTCTTCACAGCTTCATGCTAACGTGCTAACCCGGGTCGCATTGCTTCAAATGTGTCTTCTGCCCTTTTTGTTTTCATACTATCTTTTCAATTAAACATTCCACTGGTTATATGCATTTCCAGCTCTGTTTGTGTGATTTATTTTCCTCCCTCCTCCGACAGGGCAATGACCTCATTCTGCCCTCGGGAATCAATAAAGCTGCAGCTTATTTTTCTCAAATCCCAATGTTTTCTAAAACAAACGCGTGAAATGACAGCAGAGGAGAGTAGCAAGGATAAGGCCGCCGCAAATAACCAAAGCTGAATGATGTTAAATAAACTCATTAAGACGCCTGAGGGTGTGCTGGGGCCGAACACTCTATCACCTTGGAGACCTCGGTTCAGTCCCAGGTAACCGTACCTCAGGCTTGTTTGTGTGTCTTTGCTTAGTTCAAATACTTAAAACAAAACCCCTTTTTAATCAAATAGTTTGCTTTAAAAGTAGAAAAAAAATGTGTGAGTTGGAGAAGGGGACAGAAGTAGGAGCATGATTAAAAGAATGACTTGAGTTACTTACAGGAAGTCCAGGCAAGCCAGAAGAACCCTAAAAAAAACAAATAATAGCCTTTGTTATGTTCAAGCTTGTTTGTAGCATCCTCATGTAATTCATTACCATAACAAAATAAATGGACCACTTCCAGTCCACAACAGAATTGTAAATTGTAGACCTGTACAAAATACCTGGAATGCTGTTTTTATTAAACAATAATACTTTGTTATCAGATTATTTATAGATTGTATGGCAGCTGGACCAAATTGCCTATATGATAAAACAGAACAAATGAAAAGATTTAAAAGTTTTTGAGTTAACCTGTTTTTGTTCATGCCACCATGGGCACTTTGTTCGTCAGTTAGTCATGCAGCTTTTGTTACAGTAACAACACTATCACTTAGTGCTGTTATTTTAACTAGCTTAAGATGCTCATGTCAGCAGCTTTCCAAGCAAGACAAACTGCACTTAGGTAAAATTCAGATGAAATGTAAACATTAAAAGTGTAAGCTTTAAAATCCATAGTACAACCACAAGACACAATTTATTTTACCAAACATTCCTTCAATGGGTTTCTGGAGTATGATACATTCTGTCCTACAAAACTACTCTATGACTTTAAAGCTGCTGTTCAGATTTGTAAAGATAGAATGACTATGATTTGTAGTTCTTTATTTAGACTCTGTATTGTGAAGAATTCCAGCCATCATTTTTCTTTAATACGCAGTACTGACCTGTCTTCCTTCAGGTCCTCTGGCACCAGGAAGTCCGTTGCTGAAACCTCCACCAGAGGCCTCCATGTCATCCTACAAACACCAACAAAGACTTCATTACAATCGGTAAAACCAGTATTCTCTTCTTTCGTTTATTTATTTTAAGATCAAATGCTGTTGTGCATGAGATGATTAACCTTAACCTGTTAAGCCCTGAGCCTGTTTTTCAGGTCTCAGGCTCGAAAATGACATTCCCAGAACAAATGACCATATCTTCCCTTCTAAAAGGGTTAAATGAATAATTTTTTTTCTCAAAGTAATGATAAACCTGTGAGTTGGATGTAGAAAAGTCAAAATCAATATAGATGTTTTTTATTTTAAAGAAAATTCAGAGTTTACATAGTAAAAAACTGTAAATTATAGTGTCCGTCCAAAAATTCTTTTTTACTTATAGTGAAAACCACCCTTGGATGATGGGTTAGTAGACTAAAAGCTTTAGGAATCCAAAGTAAAACATATAATAAGTACCCTGTATCAAGATTGATGCAAAACAAGTGACATTTTACCTTTTTAGAGAGATTTAGCAAAAAGAAACCACTTCTGGGGTCATTTGGGTGGATTTTCCATATCTCTGGCCCCCCTTGCTCGATTTTGATGGTTGACACCTCTTTCTGACCGTTAGAGCCAATAGAATTGAAGGGGGAGTCCCCCACACACACGTTGTGAAGAGAAAAGGTGGGGGCTTCGCGCATGTCATTTTCAATCAGAGTGAACCTATCTCTAGCTTTGACATCTGGAAACGGAAAAGCAGTTTTAATGCTTATGGATTATCAGAAATCATTTCAAAGGGACACAGACACATTAGATTAACCTATGGATTAACTTCAGCAGCGTTTTTATCGTTTTAATGCCATTGAAGACCACTTTGGAGAGACTACAGAGCCAAGGTAAAAATGTTAGCATTTTTAGCTACCTAGCGTCACCTGTTTTGATGTCCGTTTTTGCTTATAACGTCGCAAATACGTATAATTCAGTGGTAATGTCGGTGTCAATAGATTCTGTGTCACCTCACGATGTGAATCGATGTGTTGGATGTGGTGAAAAGATAAATAATAAGGTTTTGTGAGTGATTTTCGGTGCAGTAAGGTGTTAGCATTTTTCACTCGTTGCTAATTCAGAGGCTCAGTGTTAGCATTGTGGGTTTTCTTTTAAAAAAAAAAAAAAAAAGATCAGTTAGATGAGTTTCTTCCCGTTACATGGATATAAAACATTCATAGTTTTATTAAATGAACATGCCCTCAGACACCGTTTCCTGCAAGATGTTGCGGCAGTGCCCCGGTACCGGGGTCTCTCGGGCTTAACAGGTTAAAGGTCACCTATCATGCTATTTCTAGGCAATAGCATAGGTCTCAGATATATACAAATATATAAAAAACATGTCTATGAAGTGTTTTGCTCAAAATACCAAACAGATCACCCATTCTAGCCATGCCTCATATCACTCCGTTTCAGCCCTGTTACTAAAGTGCTGATTCTTTTTTTTTAAACAGAGGGGGCGGAGCTTATGCCTGCTCATGCAGGACCCGGCAGATACTGTCTAAACACTGCGGTGATGAAACGCCATATCATGTTCAAAACCACATCAAGGATTATTTCTGAAACAGTATGGAGCTCAAATGCTTTTTCTCTTGCAGGTTTACCACAAGGTGAGTTCCTTTTTATTTCCTGCTTCTTACACTTACTCTCTCCAGTACAGGTTAGCTCTGAGTGTTAGCGATGCTTGCTAATGGAAACAAAGACCATATTAAGTCCAAAACACGTCAGGCATTGATTCTGATAGCGACGTTTCTGATAGGGCCGTGGGTCAACCATCCGATATGACGTGATTTACGTCATATCGGATGGCAAATCTGGATCAGCTCCGTTGTACCCCCGTTTTTAGAGATTTGCGCACGGAGGAAAAGAGAGAGGGTTTTATTTTCTGACACTTTGTGAGTTCCCTGACACACAGGCGACACATATTTATGTATAAAAGACATCAAAAAGCGCATTTTGCATGATAGGTCCGCTTTAAAGATATAGTACATACAATTTGAGCACAACAGCTTTTCAATAGGCAGCATTTTGTATTATCATTGAACATCTTTAATATTACCATTCATTTTACCCTGGTTAAAGGTAGGGTAGGTAAGAATGGAGAAACCAGCTCGAGTGCGCTAGAATTTGAAAATACACTACCGGAAAAAATCTGCCCCTTCCTTCAGACTTCCTTACAGAGCCCCTCCTCCAACACACGAACGCGCACATGACCAATGAGGGCACGAGATAAGAATCAGAATCAGAATACCAGGAGGGGAAATGTGCGTAGTTACAGCAGGAAAAAGAGCCACAGACAGCTTAATGTTACATATGTTAAATATGTGACATGCATTAAAAAAAGTACTAAGTTATGATATAATAAAAAATATAATAAAAAATAAAAAGTTACATAATTAAAAAAAAATACACATCCTGTAACAGTTCTTAGGATTTAGCAGCCAGGTATATATTACACAGTTATTAACGACATCTATATATATTGCACATCTAGCACATATTGCACATAGGTGGTTGGTATTTAACAGCAGCAAGTTACACGAGATAAGTTTGTGCACAGATGGAAGGCTGACAGGCAGGTAGGCCATCCAGTTATTTTAGCCGGGCCGGCTCAAATGATTGGTCGTGCTTTTTACAGCGTTACGGCTTCCACAGATGAATTTTTTTTAATGTATTTATTGTCAAAGTATTTAATGTATTCACTGCTATCGGGATGTTAAGAGCATTCCATGGAATATAACAAAAAGTGTTTCTGAAATAAATTACATACCCCACCTTTAACTGTCATAGAGAACCACTTAACACAGACTAAATGTAGCGTTTCATTTTTGATCCTTTAATGTGAGATCAAGTCAACCCTTTTAAAAATCTTCAAGATACCAATGTAGAACTTACAAATCCGACGCGGTAGCTGGATCCAGGGGGCCCGGGAGGCCCCGGCTTTCCGACTGGTCCGAGGGGTCCGGGCAGACCAGCCAGTCCGGTCTGTCCTAGAACACCCGGTACCCCTGGGTCTCCTCCAGACCCCTGTAGGGTGGCATGACAGGAAAAATAAATACAAGTGCATCAAACCATGGTAAGGTAATGTTTTTTTTTATTGTCAGGAATTTAATGCACAAAACTGCTAAAACCTTCATGCAGCATTTAGTATTTGTAAGTGTGGTTTAATAGCACGTAGACTAAGATAATGTAGCTGCACAAAAACTCATGCTCATTGTTCTGGTTCCCAATTCAGGCGTCACCAAATGTTAAACCAAACCATAACCAGCACTCGGATTAAACTTCAAGTCAAGTCTGCAGCTGACAATATTTGAGAAACATTTGCATATTGTTAGAAGACACAAATCCTCTTTGATGGCTGACGTGCTGGAGCACAGTTACCTGCAGAGAGGAAGACTTAGGAAAGTAGGAGGAGGATAAATAGTGGGGCAGCAGATTTGTGAGAAAAGAAAAGTCGGAGCTTGGCTGGAGGAATGAAAAGGATGAGAAGAGCTTTAGAAATAGTTCAAAGATGATACATCAGTCTCGTTTCCAAAAAGCACACCACCAACTCACTGCACACTTATCTAAAGTCTGTGATCCTTTTTCTCTGTACTACGTCACCTCTATTAATGCTTACAAAGACCCATTGCATTTAGTTGTGTTTTGGACTGCAGATGTAAATGTACGGGCAGCTAGTTAAAGAAAGTTCAAACTTAAAGAAAATCACAAGTCCTCACCTTCTGTCCAATTGCTCCTGGGAGACCCAGCTCGCCTGCATCACCCTAGTGTAGGGAAGAATAGACATATGTTAATACAAACTTCAGTTCAAGTAAATCCTACATTTGCATTTTTGTTTGCTTTTTTTGTAAGGAAATATAATATTTTCTCAAAATAGGATAAAAGTGTTCATGGCAATATTTGTGGAAACAGCATCTCAGCTTAAAGCCTGTGGGTGAGCCAGATGTCTAAGAGCCAGCGTTTAACAACACGTGTTTAGGCACAGATTACACCACACATCACAGCGCTAAAAGCAAGTCGCCAAAACCATTGTTTTTCTGTGGTACGGCTCACATGGCATAGGGTGTTCTAGATGTGCATAAAAGTTCAAATCACACATGGCTTGCACACACAGCCCTGCTTCACATGTTTTTGAAGTGGTTCATCTTAGTGTGATCGGGGCCCTTTAAAGTCTACACACTTCAATACAAGCCATATCAGCTTTTCTTTAAGCTTTTTGCTGTGTAATATCATAACATTTTTAGAATTTGAAAGGTGTGATAAGCCGCGTTCACACCGGAGTACTTTTCACCGTACTTTTCGCGTTTAGTTCCGTTAGTACCCCTTATGTCGCGTTCACACCAAAAAGAGCACTTAATCTCGGGAACTTTTACCCCCATTTTTAGTGCCTGCTGAGAGATGGTACTTTCCTGGGGGAAAAAAGTGCCCCAGTTCTGATTGGCTGGGCGAATTGCAAACCACGCCCCGTACAACTCTGAAATGTTTTGTAGAGCCGCCATTTTATTATCCTGGCATTAGCATTATTAGTATTAGCATTCGCCCAGCGCACAAACGCAGAGAGACTAACTAAAACATGGGAGCGGTGGAGATGAGGAGGTGTCGGCGTTCTGGCGATTTACTCGGAAGGCTTCAGTAGAAGCTGCTGGGAGTCCCAGCAGCTTCTACTGAAGCCAGTCCCCAACTCCGGGGACTTCCGGCCGGGGACTTCGGGTGGCAGTATACGCCGTGAAGTTGTTTGCGGCCTGCCAGTAAACCCAAAGCAGAAGAAGAAGAAGTGACGTCAGCGGCTCATTTGCGTAATCTTCCCTCAGGGAATTTATTCCGGTGTGAACGTGATCTGTACTAAGTGCCCTGGGGTAATAAGTGCCGGGCCACTAAGTGCCGGCACTAAATACGGCAAAGTACTTGGTGTGAACGCGCCTATTGCGGTGAAGTCGATGCTAGTTAGCCTAGCTAGCACTAATTCCCACTGAACATATTCTTTCTGCTGTGTCACTGACGGCTTTCTTCTGATCACACAATCGAACACTGGAGGATCTAGTTAGCATTAACTTGATCTCTTTTAGGGTCCAGTTGTGATGAAGGCAAAAGACCACTCTGTCAAAACTCAGTGCAGGTAGTCCTGTCACTTCCTATATTACTAAGTGATTCACATAACCCAAATCAAAACATTAAGTAAAATAGAGCTTGCTCAAATCATAGATCATGTCATGTCTAATGGCCTGTGAACTATATTAGTACTCGTCCATAGATACTGCACCAAGTATCAATGCTGTCAACAATACCAAGGATATGCACAGGAAAACTATATTTAATCCAGTAAGATTTCAATGCATCTAATGTTCACACTATTAAGATGCATATAGGGGTGCTAACAATTACATTTAGTTATTCCTATTAGAAGAAACAATTATTCCCAAAGTCATTACCTTTTCTCCTTTGGGACCAGACGCTCCTGGGCTGTCAGTCCCTGGAATACCAGGCAGGCCCTAGAGAGATTTGGTTTGGGTGTAAAGGAGTTGTTGATTAGGTTAGAGTCTACAGTCATTTAGAGCATTATTTGGATTATTAATGGTGTTTGGAAACAAAGAAATTGACACCTACAGGTTGACCAGCCGCACCGTCCTTTCCTGGGGGTCCGAAAGCCCCAGAACTCGATACTGTGCCTGTTGTAGAGGGACCAGGAGCCCCTGGGGGACCAGGGGGACCTTGTAGGCCAGGCAGTCCCTACATCATCAAAAGAATGATTTATTTTGCAGTCCATGATGTGTTTGCAGAGCTAAGATCTCTAGCTACGTTTTTCTCTTCTGTAATTGGTTTGACAGTAATCGTCATTTACAGATGCTGGTTACAGTCTTGCAGCAACAATGATAATATCCTTCTTTACAAAGTTAATTTCAGTGTAGAGAGGTTCTCATTTGACTCACCCGAACAGATTCCAGATCAGGGAACCCTGAGCCTTCCATGTCCACAAAGGTCTGCAATACATAAACTGATGTCAGTTTCATTCAACAAATCTCTGCTGATACAACATCTGTCTGACCATGATGAGCATGTGACCGAGATCAAGCGGAACTCACAGATCTGATTCCTGGACCGGGAAGTCCTGGTGGACCCCTGGGGCCGGGCTGACCATCTCCACGGTCTCCCTGCATGCACGACAGACATTATTGTAATAAACATAGCAATAATATTTGTAATATTCGTTATTGTTTTTATGTAAATGACCGTTTTACCTTGTCTCCTTTAAGTCCAGAATCACCCGGGGTTCCTGGGAAGCCAGGGGGTCCCTCAAGGCCCTGTGTCGAGATACATAATGTTAGGGCACTCATGGTGTGACAACAAGGGAAAAAGTAAGTGTATGGATCTATTTTAATGATCCATCAGCACATAACCTTTGACAGATAAGAGGTAAAGTAATCAATAGTGTTTTTGGTATTGTGCAGGAGAAAAAAATACGTACGGTTTTTCCATCCTCACCAGGATCACCCTGTGACAAAGAAAACATGATTACACATCCTCTCAGACACATTGTCTTTTTTTATATTTAAAATGGACATCAATATTCACCCATATGTCACATACATTAACATGTTTTAACATATTTAAAACTGAGGTGGTAACTTTAATTGTTATACATTTTCTGGCATGCTTGAAAACTTGTGATTTGTGTTTTAATGTAAACAGTTTAACTGTAGTCTACTCACTGGCTCTCCATCAGTCCCCGATGGTCCCTCTGGGCCTGATGTGCCTGGGGGTCCAGCTGGTCCTCGGGGTCCGGGGGCTCTGGAAGCCACTGAGCCGTCACCGCCGACTGTAACCTCAGTTGCGGCCCCTGGCGGGCCGATGGGGCCGACGGGGCCAGCAGGGCCCGGCTCTCCCTTCTTTCCGATGTAGCCGAAGCCGGCGCTGCCCTGGAGGAAACGAAGCATCGGAGACATTATTTGACAGTGATGACTAATCAATTCAACACCTCTGAATTCCCATACTGTAAGGTGGTATCAGGGTTCCTTTTGTGAGGGACTGTGCTGCATCACAATAAACCTGTAGCTTTGTAGCTCGGTGACTGAAATCAAAAATACAACATGTAGATGATCTCACCTTGAATCCCTTCTCCCCCAATTCTCCCTGAAAGGAGAAAGAAGAGACAGCAGTCTTCATTAGCTGTCTAGTTTCACTTAAAGCACTATCATCCACTGACATATATATACTGACACATTCACTGGTAGAGAGCTTGAACACATCACACACTGTGCACACTTCCATTAGTAAGGGTGGGACCAGTGGGATTTCATTCTGTCTGTATGTGTGTCACTTTACAGTACCTTCATTTAACAATACATATACTTTGCTTACTGTTTTACAATCTGCTGACACCTCTGTGTTGATACTCATTACTTCTAACTATGCATATTTATTTACTGAATTTATATTCAGTTCATTAATTAGCAATATTGTCGACCACAAATTAATAATACTTTATTTTATTTATAATTTTGGCATTTATTTATACCTGCGCCATAGTATGATTTAGATTCTTGTTTTGCGTGATTATTATATTTGAACACATGAAGTCATTTTGGGAGCTTTTCCTAGCAGCCACTGCTGCTCTGTCATGGTTGTGCAGATGACAATAAATCACTTTTTTGGGGAAATAATATATTAAGAACAAAATATTTTTTTGTAGAAACAACCCTTCATACTAAAACCTTTATTCTAATCATAACGGAAATATAACTTCTGTTGGTCAATAGAAACAAGTCAGATACATACCATGTATGTAGTACCTGCTACTTAAAGCTTTTATTTTGTGTAAGTTTTCTCTTTGTGTATCCCCAGCTGAATCTGTGTGTGTCAAATCAATGATGTGTTGACTTTAGAGAACTGTCCCATTGTATGACAGTGGGCCCTGGAAATACTGCCTGTCCGTATACATAACCAAGAATACAGTGTATAGAAATATGATCAAATAGATGAAATACAAATTGTATAAGAAAGCAATATAAATAGATTCCTTGACCGTAGGACTATTAGCTCATCCTCTGGGATGCGTCAGCCCCTCTCAGACCCCTGCTGTTACTAACCCTGCCCCCCACCCTCTGCGACCTTCACAAGGACAAACTCAAAAGGAAATCTTGCATCATCGGTGCATCCCCCCCCTCTCACTGCATGTAGGTCCGAACCTTTTCTCCACGGCTTCCCCCCCGTGATCCGGAGCCAGAGCTGGAGGTGGTCTCTCCCTTCGGCCCGATCGGACCCCTGTCTCCTTTCAGGCCTGTGTCCCCCTGGCTGCCCTTCTCTCCTTTAGTCCTGGCCGGCCCTGAAAACAACAAGTTATTAGAGCCCTCGTGACACGAGCTTTCAGAACTGATTCATGTTTCCAACGATAAACAGGACCCAGAAGAAGAAGAGGAAACAGGAAGAGAAAATGACTTGTTGCTTGATGGAGTGAGAATCCCCTGTGAGTGTGTGGCCCTGTGAAGGTTCTGAGGAGGATACACCTTCACACACCTGCATGCACCACCTTCCCCATATTTATATTCTAGTGTGACCTTACACTCTTCCTGTTTCGAGTAGATTCTATATACAACGCAACCATCCCCTTCAGTTGTGTGAAAAATATTTCCGACAGCGCTGACATGCACAGAAACACGATGCTTCCAGGGTTCCAGTTCAGGGAGTTTTGCTATGGAAAAAAGGATGCCATGCCTCGAAACTGATACATAAGCATGAAGTACTCACTGAAAAATTAACACCTCATATCCTAGCATTAGCATCCTAGGCTAATATGCAATTATGTTCCAATCCTTGTTATTCTTAAGGAATAAATATCTATGTGAAGCTGAACCAAAATCAGTTCCCCTAACCCTTTGTACCTTCTCCCCTTCTCTCCCTCAAACGCACTCTTCTATTTCCTCTTTGTGCATATATTTACAGAGGATTACAGCATGAACGGCCCAATGTTCCATTCCCCTGGCTTATTTAGGAAGATACACGCCACCCTTCATGAGTTCAGAAGCAGAAAGCATTGGGATTCATGCATGCTGCCGTGCTTTCAAGTCCATGTGAGGTCCTGCATGAGGAGCACACATGAGGCAGCAGAGCCTCAGAGCAGAGAATAAAAACACGTAAAACACGGACGATTTTTACTCCCCCCCCCTCTCGACCCACCTGAGGACCCTGGCAGCCCGGGTCTGTTCTCCACAGAGACTGAACTGTAGCGTGAGTCACTCGCTGAACACAACGTAGAACACAGTGTTAAATACAGTCTCTAGATTGACAGCATTGTATAGATCAGGGGTGTCCAAACTACGGCCCGACCCGACCATTTTGAATCAGCCCTAAGCAAATTAAAAAAGTATAATGAAATATGGCCCGCAAATTAAACATCTGCTATTGTACTTCTTAAATATATATATGTTCAAATATAAAACACAGTATTCATGTATTAATAAGCCCAATTTTCAAATAAATTCGGTCAATTCAAGTTGGAAACATTTTCTAACAAATCTTAGTTGATAAGAAAAAAGCCCAATAACACATTTACATAACAACCTTGAAATAATACTCTTCATATGTCTTCTTATTATAAGCAATCTGAGCCTCCTGTTTCAAGGAATGATCTGCTAAAAAAATAAATGAAAGCTCTGTGTTTTTTCAGCAATAGGCGCTTTCACACCAAGTACTTTGCCGTACTTAGTCCATGAGAACTTAGTTCATCAGAACTCTTTAGTTCTGATGAACTAAGTACAGATCGCGTTCACACCGGAATAAGTCCCTAGGGAAGGATTAGGCAAATGAAGCCGCTGACGTCACTTCTTCTTCTTCTTCTGCTTTGGGTTTACTGGCAGGCCGCAAACAACTTCACGGCGTATACTGCCACCCGGAGTCCCCGGCCGGAAGTCCCCGGAGTTGGGGACTGGCTTCAGTAGAAGCAGCTGGGACTCCCAGCAGCTTCTACTGAAGCCTTCCGAGTAAATCCCTCATCTCCACCGCACCCATGTTTTATTTTGTGTTGCTATAAGTTAGTCTCTCTGCGTTTGTGCGCTGGGCTAATGCTAATGCTAATAATGCTAATGCAAGCAAATAAAATGGCGGCTTCACAAAACTTTTTGGGAGTTTGACGGGGCGTGGTTTGCAATCCGCCCAGCCAATCAGAAATGGGAACCTTTTTCTCCCACGAAAGTACCTGCTCTCTAGCAGGGACTGAAAAGGGGGTGAAAAGGTTCTCATGAACTCATTCTAGTTCCGGATTTTTTTTGGTGTGAACGCAAATTTTCAGAACTATATCGGAACTATACTGGGAAAAGTACTCAACCATCATTTACCTAAATTTGATAGATTTTTCTGACTTGTAACTTATGAGGCAATATACCTCTCCTCTAGTGAGTGGCCCAGCCCTTAGAATATCTTTCTGTGTGTGGCCCTCGGTGAAAAAAGTTAGGACACGCCTGGTAACATGGCTGAGGTAAGCAATTTTAATTTTGTAACATTCAGTTATGGTATTTATTTATTTACTTGAGTCTATACTATTCCTGTAGATTAAGCTAGAGACTAGACTTTCAAAGCTTCTAAAACTAACCTCAAACTAAGTTGGCACAAACTCAACAAGAGCAATGGTGCTTCACTTTAGTTGGGAACAAGATGTCTCTGCTTTGTGTTTCCCCTCGCTATATTTTGGTATAGAATTGTCCCGAACATAGCAAAATAAAATCCAGGCAGAGGCATTGTGCCTTTAAGTAAAAATCCAATTGAGTAAATACGTTTTTTATTTTTTTACTCATTCCAAGTATGCTTCTATCCAATGTGAAATCAACTCTCACAATAACTCGACAAGACGCTGTGTGTTTGCCATTCAAATTATGCAAACAAATGATGTTAGCACAGAGTAAAGTATGTCAGACATTTTTTCACCTTTCTTTTCATAATGAAAGTCAGATTGTTTGATGTCTCTGCACTTTTCCTCTGTCATCAACTGATCAATACGCTGTTCCTTTTGTCAGCTATTAAACTTTAGTACTGTGCCAAATGTCTATTAGGTACTATCTTGATCATCATCTGTTTTATTTTTATCTTAACTTTGGCCAACAATATTGCATTTAAAATGATATTTTCATTGTGTTTAATGACGTCAGTGCAGCCTTTTATTCATGGAGAAAAAGGATGATGACGAACATCTTAGTCATAGTTTTCATAAATGAGGAGTGCACTAAGAACCTGCATTTTACTTGGCATTAGTGTTGACACCACTAGATGGTGCCAAAGTGTTGGATCACAAAGCAAAAAAAGGAAATCTGTTTCACGATATCTGTAGGCCAATCACTTATTCAGATAGGGATACATCATTTGTGAGGGTTATAAATATTATTTATATAAACATATGTAGACTTCAAGTAAAGACAGCAGCAGTAACATCATATATATTTGAATGTAATTCACAGAGAAAGCTAAAACTAAACTGACACTCCAGTGACTGTTGCAATATTCCTCATGTCCACTAGATGGAGACATCAGAGCACATTTTCAGCAAGCTCTGGCTGGCTCAGTTAAGCAAGTTGGAGGAAATTGAACACTGCAACAACATGTGCCATCATAAACTCGTCCACAGCCCCCCCCCCGACCATGCCCAACAGGTGAGATCTGTCATGTCTATCTATTTCCCATCTCTCAAAACTACGTTATAAATGTATGAAACAAAAATCGATATTTGCGAAACAGTAAGAGTAGATCCAAAGGCCTCTGTAAAAAAGGTCAGGCATGAAGAAGGTTCAGAAACATTTTTGACAACAAACAAATGCAGTCTTTCAGTCCAGAAGAACTCACCTGTGTCTCTTTCTGTGAGCACCTCGTCCTTCTTGGAGAGTGGAGGCTGCTGGATGGGCCGGGAAGAGGGAGGAGTGGTCTGCAGGTAAATACACAGAGATACATATTTAAAAATGGGGGAATTTAACAAAGTACATTAACTCAAATATTGTACGTTTGAGGTCCATGTACTTAACCTTAGTATTTCTATTTTAGTATATAAAGTATTTTAAATGACTTACATCTTTAGCAGCGTCAATTCACTTTATAGAAATAGTCATAATCCAGTCATTTCATATTTATTATTCTGAATTGGCTCTTACGAATTACAAGTACTTTGACTTTTGAAAGGTTTCCCCCCCTGCCTGAAACGCCTCCATTGGACTCCTTTGTTAACTTCTGTATCTTAGTGACATCAGTATGTAACCTGCGCTTCTATTGGCTAGCGCGCCAACACATTGTACGTGACTCCTATAAGCAGTTGACAAATCACAACAGAGCCGGCCAGCTAACCAATCAGAGCAGACTGGGCTCTGGTTTCAGACAGAGGGTGAAAAGAGGTGCTGCAGCACAGGCAGTATGAGACACATAAAGAGCTTTTTGAACATTAAAGCATGGAGACATGTCACAGTAGAGTAGAGGAACCTTTTAAGGTACTTTTTGATGCCAATACTTTTGTACTTCTACTCAAGTAAAATTTGAATGCAGGACTTTTACTTGTAACAAAGTATTCTTACAGTTTAGCGTTGTTACTTTTAACAACTTTTTAAAAAACTGGATTACTGTCACTGCATATTTGAAAAGGGCAATGGAGGACATTCACTAGAGGCTGGATCTGGGTCGTATGGCTCAGTTTCAGCTGGGTTCCCCCCTGAGTAGAGGAACAGCGCATGGGAAAGAGTAGGCATCGTGTTGTGTTGAATTTAATCATAGCAATGTTTACAGTTTGTGCAGCCAAAGCTCTCTTCATAACTAACAGGGCAGGTTCCCAGCTCCACACAAAGCTTTGAAACAGGGTAAACATGATTGAGTCAACATGTGCATGGCAAACCAAGAACAGAACGTTTTCTGGGGAAATAGTTATTGTTTTCAGTAATTGCAGTTTGTGTTCATCTCTGTCAGACAGCTCATGCCTGGCCTCTGTTGCAAAACTTCTCTCCTTGTGAACATGTTCGCGCCAACTTGCAAAATGGCATAATCCAGATTTAATAAGAACCAGGGGACGGTTATTGAATTGAAACTCAAACCTTTGTTAGTAATCATGTTTTTGTTTTTGTATGGTGTCATCTCATTGCTGCTACTCAGAACCTTATAACCACTTACAACCTGCAAAGCTAAGCTAAAGGAACCATGTGATCAAATAAAAGGGGCAGGACCTTTTATAATATTAATGGATGTTTTGCCAAAATGGTTTAATGTATTTAGAAATAGGGCGGTACCCAATGTACATTTTCACATTTGATGCTTTTCAATAGAATCCTTATTTCAATTACGTAAGTGACTAGTTACATCAAATGAGTAAATAACCTTTCTTTTCTGTAAATAACTGGTCAGTGTTGTAGTGCAGCTAGTGGGAGATCAAACTCGCAGTTATAAATGTTGGTTTTTAAAGTTTTAACAGCGAAAAATATGGTTTGAAGCGCAATATTTAGCAATATTAAAATGTAGTACATTTGGGAAATAATTAAATCAACATTTTCATTAGTTTTTTAATTTTGTACTCTTAACACCCTGAAGTCAGAAACATTCCTGCGCAACTAACAGTGTTACTGATCCAAAAAACAATATAATGCTCTTAATATTAGTGTAGCATTACCGTGTAGGACTCTCGTCTTTGAATAAGATAATGAGGCAAAAGAAAAGATAAGCGGTGCAGCATTTCAAATGTTGACTTCAATGTTCTGCATGAAGCCATGAAATACACGTACCCTCCTACTGAGACAATATTTGAATTTTTATGTTTTTGTGTACCCTGTACCCTGAGTCTGCAGATTACCCACAATCCCCAGGCACTAAAATCACAGCAGGACCGAGAGACAAGCTGTAGAAAGTCGGGGGAGGGGGGGGTCTGCTCCCAAACTGCCTCTGGGTAAAAACAAGAGAGGGGGAGGAATAATGCAAATACCCCCCCGTAACTCATTCTTCATCGGTGACACACCTTGGTTCGTCACCTGTGGAATTCCAGTGAGGAGTGGGATGAAGAGTGGAGGAGGGGGGGAGAGGGGGGGCAGCTAGAGGAGCATAGTGATCCGGGGTTAATAACTAACCAGTTCCCCCCCGCTGTGGAGCGCTGGCTATGCTAAGAATTCTGACTGCTGTAGCCTGATATATGTATTAATGTGAAAGAGAATACCCTGCCTGTTCGCTCCTTAACGTATCCATCACAGAGGGGCTGACGGGTGGGAGGGTCCCCTCTTTAGAACTTCGTGTTGATGGATTTGAACCACATGAAACCACACCCCCCCCCCCCAATGTAAGAGCAGGTATGTAGCTCCTTCGGCGAAGAACATTATTCAACCTCTGCAGCAGTGCAGGAAGTATTTTTTACTTTTTTTACTGCGTGCCCCACGAGAATCACAGAGGGAGCTTTCTGGATTTTTGTGGTTAGTTGTAAGATGATAGAAAAACAATCTGGCTGTTTATAAAATGCAGAACCTAGGCTTGATTCTGTTTTGTTCAACTTTTACGGGCATAATAAAGTGGAATCATGCTTTAACTTTTCAAACTTAATGCAAAACATGACTTCAACCTAACCAGTTAGCTTCTTGGTATTTAAATGTATGAAAGTAGAGGCATTTGCTAAATCTATCCCACAGGTATCACAACCCCTCTGAGCCAAACCAGGTCCAAATGACTGTTATCTGACAGAGATGTGATGGATCCTACATCTTGTTAAAAACAGGCCAGGATGCATAAAATGTCCCTAAAACACCTAGCAACAATACCAAGAGCACAAATCAATAAGTGGAGAGCTGCTGTTAGCGGCTGGTCTGACAACAGTATGAGGCTACAGGGCTGGAGCTGCACCAGAGCCAGCAGAGTCTGCGTCCGGATGTGAGCAGTGAGCAGCCAGAATACATACAAAAGTCAATTCTAATATTGAGGAAAAAGAAACGATCAAAAATATATAACAAAAAAGGCTGTTTTAATAACTAAAAGCAATAATTTGTGCTTTTTTTCAAATGTTCAAGGCTGCAGGGAGGAAAACATGTGATATGTTGATGAAGAGGAGAAATTATAAAGTTACTCATTTATGTGTACAGATTTATTAATTCATACATTTCATATTGAAAGCATCTGAATTAAAAAAAATGTTATTCTGGTGCCTGGTTATGTCATAAATTACTCGTGAGTTTGGCCGAGCTTGCAAAGTCATAACTGCATTCAGTATAGATGTTTTTAATATTTCTGGGTTACTAAGTGAAGTCTCCTCAGTTAATTGACTTCAGGTCAAGTAAGCCGAAATCTCACAGCGAACAAGTCCAAGTCTTACATTTTGTCAGTACAACTCCTAATAAAAAAATCTATAAAGGTGTCCAGATTAAGAATTTACAAAAGCTTTCCTAACATGATGGACATAAATAGGCCGTTGCTAAGAACTACCAAGCATCTGACCTCTCCCTGAATCACTCACACGCTCTTGAACGTGTCCTCTGTGCTTCCTGCTGGAGGAGGCTGCTGGCCTGCAGTATGACACAGTGAAGGGTGACTGCCTCCTCTGCCATCTATCATCATGGATTCCAGAATGACAAAATGGAAAGTTTCACTAGAACAACTCTCCCGTCTGACTCCCCTCTGCCCAGACTTGCCTTAATTGCACCGGTCTCACCGCGGTGCAGAGTGTATGTTCCATGAAAACATCGGCAGGTAGACATTAGATGCCAGCTGTCTTTTACATGGCATTACATCCTTTGATAAATAGCTACTGCACAGATGGAAAAGCCCCCTTATAAAAGCTGCAGGTAATATGGCAGTAATGATGAAGAGACTTCCGACGCCCGACCCTCCCCCCCCCCCCCCCGTCATCGCCTCTCACTTTCTTTCCACCCCTGTCAGCTCCTGTACACAGTTGATTTACAAACCAGTCAGAATAACACAGCCTGAGGCGCTGGGGGGGGGGGGGGGCTCTGACTTGGATCAGATCGAGTCCAAATTGACATCTGGTTTTTCTAACTCCACTATAATTGTGAGTGGGAGGGCATGCACGCACAGGGGAGCAGGGTGCGCTGAATTCAGCCTGCATGGCTATCTTTGAGGGGGGGTGCTGGTGAGTAGGTGTCTATGGAATCTGATTGTGTGTGTGAGAGAGACAGAAAGCAGAGAGAGGAAGACAAAAGGGGTGGGGGGGGTAGTGAAAAAGTGACAAGAAGAGATGAAGGAAGACGCCAAGAGATACAGGAACATGAAGGGGTGTGACAGTATGGAACAAAGCCAATGTGCATGCTGGGTAAGAGACAACTGTCCGTCAGACATCTTGTGGTATCTTAATCGAGGTGATCAAATATATAACTAAGTCGATACAGAGCACCTCACCTGAATGCAGTGCTGTTCTTACATCTGCTATTTTGGCTGCATATGTGCATCCCAGTGCTAGCATAGCGGCTATCTATCAACATTAGCGTTCGTAATAATCGTATGTCAAAATGCACTATGAGTACCCGGGGGGTGCATTCAGAACGCGTGTGGAACTCTTGACTCTTCTTCCATAATCTAAATAATGCCTTAAACTCTTTGGCATCTTGGCTACGTAATGGAAGTCACACGATCAGCTGCAATTGCTGTTGCTCCAGTAAAGTAAATTAAATCACATTACAAAAAAAAAGTAATACATGGTTATTTTTTCACTATTTAATAAACAAACCACTATAATGGTGTTGAAATATAGGCACAGTATAGTTTTGGGGGTTAATTGAGCTGTCTGTAATGATTTGCTACCGCTAAACATAGCTAGCTAGCTAACAACATACCTAGCTCCGGTGAGGGCACAATGGCTGTGTGTGATCTGGGCAACACCACATGGTCAAAATTCACGCTCTGCCCAATTTTCCACAGTGTAGAAAACATGGCAATGTACTAGGGAGAGTGTTTGAATTGATACACAACAGAGACGATCCCACTACTGTAAAAGCAAAGCATGCTTTAAAATGGTAAAACCATCGATCAACTGTGAACACTCTTCTTGCTGACTTTCTAGTTGGACAGCTATAAGTAAACAAGAAAGCAATACAATGTCAGAATGATGATATTTAATCCTTAACTCTGGAAATCCCCATTTTTCTCACTTGTTTCCTCTATAGTCTGACCAGAGGAATCTCTCCATGTAAAAAGTCGTTGTCCCACGATCTATAAGACAGAAGCAGCTCCATTTCCAGACATCAACTCAGCAGTTTTTAATCTCTCCTCAGAGATAAGTGTGTTCGCTCACTTATAGCGAGTAACCTGAGACATCAGAGGTATACCTTACAGTGGTCTGCTGCTAATAATCTGTCAGGTATACATGTCGAACTGGTCAGCTGTTCAGTCCTCTTCAGGGAACAAAGCATTCTTCTTTCATACCTCTTCTCACTCTCTTATATAGTTATTTAAAAGGATCCATCAAACAAACCTTCCAGGGGGGAAATGGTATAGACCATACTGCTTCAATATTATGTACCAAGGAGAAGAAGTGCAGTAAAATAACTGCAAGCAGGACAGCCATTTCTTGGACATTAACCTTATATTGACAGAGATGGAGTCTCTGAAAACAGTTCTTTTTATCAGGTGTTTAGGGTCACTTTCATTATTTTTCACCATTAAAACTGTGTCACTACAGTGTTTTTTTATTTGCTATTTTCTCTATTTCCATCACCTTTACAATGTTAACCTTTCTCCTGTTTATTAGCCAGAAATGGATTGCCTCTCTGCTCCTTTCTATTTCTGATTATTCTTTCTGGCCTTTCTTTTTAGAGCCCCTACCTTTAGAAATGTATCACATGTGCATCAGCGGAACGTCTCTGCACGTCATCAGATGACAGGGCTGAGGAACAGTGGGAGTCGTATATTGACAATTATTTGTAATAAATAAAAAGTTGTTCCATACCGTCCATCTGAGCGTCTCCCCAGCTGGTCTTGAATTCCTCTCCTCGTCGCCACTTCCATCACCTGAAGCCTGAGGAGAGCAGACATTTTATTTTAATGTGATCAAGTTTTTCTTTGGGTTTGTTTGAGTGCACTGACCATTATATCTGAAAATGTTCTTTTAACTGTATGTCCAATTGTCTCAGTAAATAAACTCTATTTGAATTCCAGGTCAAATTGAAGTCCGCTCTAAAAGCAATTTAGTTATTGTGTGTGCTTTTTATTAAATAACTGTACACCTTTTTGTTTTTAACAATGAATTTGTTGTAACTATTGACATATTGTTTTCTTACTCTTAACATGATTTTATGACACCCTTTGACAAGGTCCTTGTTGAAAAATATACACAGCGTCTTAGTAATCCTGAGTGCATCCTGTGAACAGCTGTGTGTGTTTGAGATAAAAGACATCCTGAAATCAGAAACCTGTCATTTCCACTCAGAATGGGATTCTCTCGTCTAATCCAAAGGACATCTAAAGATTTGAAGGCAACGAGTGAACCTTCCTCTGTCAGTGAGGTTCTGGTGGTCTCGGCAGCTGTGAAGTCAATTTTGACCAAATAACAGTAAAGGCTGCTGGGGGGCTACGGAGGGGCACCTGTGTTTGTGTGTGGGTGGTCGGGGTCAGTGGAAAATGCTGCTCTCACACTCCTATCTTTTACAGATTCACTATTGTTTACAGTGTAACTGATGTAACACGCTGGAATAAATCAACAAACCCAGTTAAATGTCATTACTTGTGACAGGGCTTCTCTAATGCAGAGGTAGATCCACCAGCAACATTCTGAGTAATACTTGAAACCACGGGTCCCTGATTTCAGTCAGAGGAGCTCTGAAGAAGGCTTCTCATCTCAATTTTGGACGCTGAAATGAACTATCGCTGGCAGATTTCATCAGCTGCAGCTAGTTAGCCAATTAGGGTAATGGTAGCGCCATGAGTCGGTTGAAAGCCGTGTTTCCGGCAGATTTGTTCATGTTTTCAGCTGACTCCTTTTAAAATGATAATCTTGTGAAAGGAGTTTAACTATTCACATGAAGGCTGAAAATCCTGAGGTGAAAGCTGCATCCCCCCGGGAAAATAAATCAGATTTTTCAGCAGTTGATGAAAATGTACATACACATATGTGGTTTTTTCAGTTTTTTATTTTTTTATTTTCGACATACTATACTATTGAGTTTTTTTTACATATTTATGACCAACTATTTTTTCCTATTTTAGACATACTATATTACTGCATTCTTTGGCATTTTTTCAACATATTATACTTTGTGGTTTTTTCAAATATTTTGGAATACTACACTTTGTCGTTTCTTTCAGAAGTTTTCGACATACTGTTTTTTCATATTTTCGACATACTATACCATGTCGTTTTTTGGGAACATTTTGGCATAGTATACTATGTTGTTTCTTCATATTTCCGACATAATATAACATGTCGTTATTTGGCATATTTTTACCATACTATACCATGTAGTGTTTTTGCATATGTTTTTTCTAAGTCCTTTTGTTCATATTTTTGACACACTATACTATGTCCTTTCTTTCATATTTCTGACATATTATACTATGTTGTTTTTTGGGAAAATGTTGGAATAGTATACTGTGTTGTTTCTTCATATATTTTGCATATTTTCACCATACTACACTATGTCGTTTTTGCTGAACTTTCCGACATACAACACTATGTAGTTTTTGCATATTTCGATATACAGTACTATGCTGCGTCCTTTTTTGGCATATTTTCGATATACTATGTCCTTTTTTGTCATTTTCTTTACATAAAAAAAAATTGGCATTCTATACAATGTCGTTTTTTTGCATATTTTCGACCAACTGTTTTTTCCTATTTTAGACAACTATATTATGGAATTCTTGTGCCGTTTTTATATACTATACTATGTCCTTTTTTGTTGTTGACATATTTTGATATACTATATATATTTTTTTTTCTTCATATTATTGACTAACTATATTATGTTGTTTTTCTCATATTTGTGACATTTCATTACATTCCCCTTTTTAGATGCTATTACCCAAAGCGGGTGAAGCGTCACATGCTGACTGCCTCAGCCTCCCAACGTCGATTTTCTGGACAATAGTGTACCATGTTTTTCATACTTTCATACTACTACACTATGTTGTTTTTTTGCGTATTTAGACATTTTATACTTTCTGTTTGTGATATTTTCGAGATGCTATACTGTGTATTTTCTTTGCTGTTTTTTCTAATATTTTTGAATACTACACTCTGAAATGTTCGACATCAGAGCGCTGGTTGCAGCCACGACTCAGATTAACCTTGTTTTTATTTTTGTGGTTTATTGATTTAATGTAGCACAGACAACTTTCATCACCACTGTATATTCTCTGTGTGTTCGTGAACTTGATGTCAATATGGATGCCTTGTCTACTGCAAACAAAATCCACCAAAGTGTACAAATAAAGTAACCTGAACCTGAACTCACCATATCTGAGTCGTCTCCATCCTCCTCGCAGTGCCTCTCAGCAGCGCGGGGGTCTCCCACAATCCTCAGCTCCCCGATCACCCCCTATAGCAAAACAAGGACATGGTGTTTTCATGTTAACGATACATGTAATATATAGAGCAGCATTTGTTCTCACACATGTCTTACTTTCATCATACATTATATGGATGTTTATCTGTGAACTTGCTGCCTTTTCTCTCAGGGAATTCCCCCTCTCCACAAAATCACAGGGGCTATTGATGTCTCAGTGTTAGCCTCTGCCTGTGAAGTGCCACTATCTGTGCCCACACACAATCTGTTACATGTTTCCACACAGGATACTCGCACTGATAGCATTCATGCTATCTGACTGCCTATCACAGGGTCATTAGCTCTGAATGAGAGGTGGTCTCTCTGCTGGGGGGTTATTTGTAGTCAACTCTTTAGGACACATTTATGTCCTGAGAAGAAAGATCAGAAGAACTTTGAAGATAAACAGAAGAAGCTCTTTGAAATGTAATGGTTGTACTGGCTGACTCGATGTTTAGTCGATGTGTCTTTTTCTAACAAAGTGCTTCAGATCTTCACAATTAATCTTAGATTCTATACAAAAAGGTCCATCGCTAAACAAATGTAATAAATGTTATAAATATGTAAATATTTAAATGAAAAAGAAGCCCGCCAAGTCTTCATTTGATTAGAGAAATCACAAGACCTCTACAGCTGAGGGCCGTGTGAAGGTCAACACAGAAGGAACAGGGTCTGCTTGGTCTTTCCAATATAATACATCTTTCTGAACACAAGGGAATACCTCAGCAGGGCTCAAGTAATAACAACAACTGGAATTGTGAGGAAGAGTTGCAAAGTGGTTTACAACTAATGAGCAGCTGTCTTCAAACACAGCAATAAACAGATTTAAACAAGGGTTTCAGCTGGGAAACACTTAATCCCCCTAACATTTATGGGAAGAACTTTTTGGGAATTTTGACTTATTAAGTAGTGTTAACATATCTCCCTGTTTCCCATATATGTAATAATATATCAGTGGATGGAGGGAATTAAAAAAATGTGATATAAGGTGTTCTGCGTTCATGGCTTCCTGGCCTTTAGTCTTATTTTCAGTACAGAGAGGTCATTTCAGTCCATATGAGCAGAAAGACTAGAACACTAAACATTTAAAATGGCTCACCGACCATCATTATCATGCAAAAGTGTCACTCAAAAGTTACAAACAACCAGGTCATGCTGTATGTAGTGTATATCTACTGAACATAAAGTAGATTCATGCATATATAAGGAATAGCATGCAAATAGCTTGCATGTAAGTCAGTAAGCTAAATAATGAAGATTTGCATGAATTACAGATGTATCTTCTCTCCCCAAAGGAGGGTTTGATTTTCAGTTGGAAATATTGATTTTTATTTAATATCTGGCTCTAATCTGATTCTTTTAGTGAATTATAATGACATAAAAACATTAAGAAAACAGTCAATCTTGATTGTTTGTCCGATAGAAATATTTAAGTATTAGGTAAATGAACTAAAGCAGCGGTTTTCAAAGTGTGAGGCGCGCCTCCCCTGGGGGGCGCCAGAGAGCTTCAGGGGAGGCGCAGCGGGAGAAAGAAATAACGAGAAACAGTGAAATCTAGCTAGTTAACTTCAGCTAACTTTATGCGAGCGGCAACATGAATCGATTTTTAGTGAAGTTACCTAAAGTGAAAGAGGAGACAGCGTCTGGCAGAAAATGTCACTTGCACACTTTTGGCTGTGTGTGGAGACCGAGTTCCCCCACCTCGCCAAAAAGGCTGTAAAAGTGCTCATTCCCTTCACCTCCGCCTACCTGTGTGAGTGTGGGTTTTCCGCATTGACTTTGATCAAAAGCAAGTACCGGTCAAGCAGGGGCGGATCTACCGGGGTGGCATGGGGTGGCAACTGCCACCCTAGAAATAGCCTTGCCACCCCAGCTGCCACCCCAGTTGGCAGCTTTGTTTTGAAATAAAAGTTGTGGCTCATCGGACATTTATGAGAGAAAATCCCTAATGTCCGAGTGCAAGTGAATGCAGCACAAGACGCGAGCCCTGTAACCCCTCCCCCGGCCCTGGTGCGAGCGAGGAAATGTGATTGGCGGCAATTTAATTTGAACGGGACGGCGCATTCGGACCCAAGTAGACGGAAGGAATGAGGTATTTGCGGTCTACAATGACAGAGAAGAGACTGTCAAGTTTGGCTGTACTCAGCATTGAATCAAAACGCACTAAAGTTTTAGATCTTAATAAGTTTGTGAGGCGTTTTGCTGAATAAGATGGTAATCGCCGCATTCAGCTGTTATAGGCATGCCAACTTGATGCTCTGCTCACGGATGACTCGATGAGCATAAACAACTGTTAAGATGATGACCTTACGTGTGTAAATATTTTTTTTTCTTTGTGGGGGTCTGCCCCCAAAAAACAGTTTTAAATCCTGAGAAAGTCAAATAAGACGGTGTGTAAAACTACACAGCCCAGCAAAAAGTAACCACTTTGATTTAACTAGGCCAGTAGGTATGGTATCCACTGGATAATAATACCCCTGCATTATAGCAACAACAACAATAATAATAATGATAATAGCAATAATAATTGGAAGGGGGGGCGCGGCTGTTCTTATGTTCTCTGAGGGGAGGCTCACCTTCCACCACTTTGAAAACCCCTGAACTAAAGCAATAGTCAGTGTCAGGAAGAACAATTATAACTCATAAAATGCCTGCAGTTGCGTGTTTTCTCCGTGCAGGTAGCCGTGGGTGACCCACTATAACCAACCCCACGGCCCCGCGGGCAGGGGCATAACGCAACATCTTGCAAGAAACAGCGTCTGAGTATGGGCTCAGAACAGTCTCATAATACACACATGCACACAGAAGGATTCACACTTGTATTTCATGATCCACAAAAGGATTCACACTTGTATTTCCGGATCCACACTTGTGTTTTTCAATGCACACACAAATGTGTTCCGTTTCATATACATGTAAATAAAATCCAAATACAGAAAAAAGTTTTACATATGTATTTTGATCCTCACATATTTGTTTTCCGTTTAAATCCCCTGAACCTGCAAACACAAACCGCTTTCTGTGCATGGATCGCTCTGCATTCGTGTGTGGGTTTTTGAGACTCCCCTGACGGTCACCCGATTCGTACTTGTAATTTTTTCTATCTATAGCCAATCAGATGTCTCCTCAATTCTAAGCCAATCACATGAGCGCGCCCCCACGAGGGTAGATTTCTTGCGTTCATGTCACTTCATATACGCATTTTGCGTAGTCCGGAGCAGGGTTTCCGCGGACAGAATTTAATTTACCGGACAAATTTGAAACTTACCGGTCATGTTTCAATAATAATAATAATAAGAATTGTGTAGCAGCGTTTCCGTTAGGTAATTACCGGACTATGACCGGATAATAACACGGGAGTAAGGATCATCTCTTTTCCTCTCTCCCTCCCTCTCTCCTGACAGCCCGTCAGTTTCTCATGCAGCTCGCTAAAACTTCACTCGCGTTTATGTCCATATCGATCAGATCCAGCTCTCCTGATCGGCCTTTATAGAGAGCACCGATCAAACTATTAAGAGTGAATATCGGCCGATAATGACCGGCGGGGCTCCCCCCGTTGACAGTTCACTGTCTAGCACTGGCTTCGTAGTGCACTGATCGATTAGGCTAAGCTAACCTGTAGCTGCTCCCTCCACACTCACAACAACTTCATACAGACATAAATAAAGCAGCTGATCACCATACAGGAAACACACATTTAAAACAGTTTTGCCTGCCGTTTTTGTGTACACAAGCATTCATTAATGGTTCGGAAAGTGGCACTGTACCTTAATAATATAAAGGCTTGTATTTGCGTGCATTTCCTGATCGGAAAGTGGCAATGTACTGAGAGTGGAGGTGTCCTGAGATTAGCGCCTGCAGGCAGGCTCCATGGACCTGTCAGCTCCGGACAGCGCAAAATGCGTACATGAAGCGCTACGTCATGAACGCAAGAAATCTACCCTTGTGGGGGCGCGCTCATGTGATTGGCTTAGAATTGAGGAGACATCTGATTGGCTATAGATAGAAAAAATTACAAGTACGAATCGGGTCACCGTCAGGGGAGTCTCAAAAAACCCACACACGAATGCAGAGCGATCCATGCACAGAAAGCGGTTTGTGTTTGCAGGTGCAGCGGTTTTAAACGGAAAACAAATATGTGAGGATCAAAAATACATATGTAAAACTTTTTTCTTATTTGGATTTTATTTACATGTATATGAAACGGAACACATTTGTGTGTGCATTGAAAAACACAAGTGTGGATCCGGAAATACAAGTGTGAATCCTTTTGCGGATCATGAAATACAAGTGTGAATCCTTCTGTGTGCATGTGTGTATTATGAGACTGTTCTGAGCCCATATCTGAGGGCTTCTTAACATTTAACAAACTATGAATGTGTCATATCCACTTAACGGGAAGAAACTCAGCTATCTGACAATATTAACCATTTTTAGCAAAACGAAACATAAGGGTAATAACAAAGGCTCTGAATTAGCCCTGAGCGGAAAAATGCTAACGCACTTAGCACAGAACTCACGTTAAAATACCCTTATTACTTATCGGATCTGCACAAACAAGATATCGATTAGCAAGCTGAGATTCCACAGATTCCAGAAATATAAGTATCATCACTGGGCGACCAGAACTCGCGGCATGGGTAACAAAACCAGACATCACACAACGTAGCTTTAGGTAGCAAACACGGGACATTGTCTTACCTTTTGCTGTTTCTGATCAAAAGTTGTGTTCAATGGCATTAAAACAATAAAAACGCTGCTGAAGGTTAATCCAATGTGTCTGTGTCACTTTGAAATGATTACTGATAATCCATCTTCATATTTATGTCAATAACGGAGATTTCATATTAGCTGCTACGAGAATGTATGACAGCTTCCGGTTTTGGGCATTCTGGCTACCATTCACCAATGGGTAATGTTTAGATGGATTTTAGGAACTTCCCCTCGATTCTATTGGCTCTAACGGTTAAAAAGAGGTGCCAATCATCAAAGTCGACCGAGGGGGGCCAGAGATATGGAAAATGCACCCAAATGACCCCAGAAGTGGGTTTTTTTCTTTGCTAAACCTCTCTAAAAAGGTCAAATGTCACTTGTTTTGCATCAATCTTAATACAGGGTACTTATTATATGTTATAGTTTGGATTCCTAAAGCTTTTAGTCTACTATCCCATCATTCAAGGGTAGTTTTCACTATAAGTAATGTTTTTCTTTTGGACGGACACTATAATTTAAAAATGTTTACTATGTTCAATCTGAATTTACTTTAAAATTAAAAAAAAATCTATATTGATTCTGACTTTTCTACATCCAACTCACAGGTTTATCATTGCGTTGAGAAAAAAGATTATTAATTTACTCCTTTTAGAAGTGAAGATATAGTCAATTGTTCGGGGAATGTCATTTTCGAGCCTGAGACCTGAAAAACAGGCTCGGGGCTTAACTGGCAGCTAAGGTCAACAGTTGTTGCGGTCAACTGCTGGGATTTATAGCAGTCAGGTGACTGAAGTTAATTACAGACCAGCTGTGAGGTCTTCCAATTATTCTCAGGCCCCTCTCAAGACATTTATGTTTCCGTTAAGATGAGGCCAATTTGAGCAATGAAATCATATGAGAGTTATTTGTCCAAGATGTTTCACATGATTGACTAAAGAGAGTCAAAACACTCTTCTGAACTTCACGGCTTAGGAGACCTGGCGCTGTTCAAGTTGGTTCTAGAGAGGTAGTTTGGGAAAGTGAGATGTGTGGTTTTCTGACACAGGAATTAGTTTGACCTAGGCCTAGTCCACACGTACACAGGAATGTTTGTGACATAGCTTTTTCTTTGCGTTTTTCGCCTTTTATCTCCACACCCAAGCAGTGTTTGAGGTCACTAAGTGGTCACGGTGAGTGTTTTCAGAAACTCCGTTCAAGGTTGTTGAACAGACGGCTAAAAAAGGGCATCGAAATACTTGACCTGTAATGTCAGAATTTGTGCTGTAATGTCCTTTGATAATGGAGCAACATTTTGAGGAATGGCGGCACAAATACAATCTTTTTTTGACCTGCTGTACTATGACTTAATCATATTTTACAACATACTACACAATACATTTTTTGACGATATATATTGGGAATCTTTCAATATACTAAACCTAGCCAATTTTTGTATGTATTATACATTTATACATACTAAACCATGCATTTTTTTCAACATACTTTACTATAACTTGTTGCATATTATTTGTCATAGTATTCTTCATTTTTTTGTATACTATACTATGACTTTAAAAAAAAAAAGGGAACACACAGAAAGCCGCCTATACCAAGCCAATCAATAATAGTTGTTTTCTTCTTTGGTAGGGATCGCTAATGGGGCAACATTTTGAGCATAAATACAATCATGACCGGTGGATGGGACCAAAAAACCTGGTAATAGGACTTTTTTACATACATATTACATAAATATACTGTACAGTTGCTCTTCCACTAAACTGAGCAAAGAGGCCTACCTTATGCGCTCTAAAGTTCCCATGCAACACTCCTAGACACAAACCCCCGCCCACACCACCTTACACATGTGGCCCACCCTGCATACTCAGAGAGACATGAAGGAGGAAAACCCTGTTTATAAAAATATCTGTGTACATGTAACCTAGGCCTAATTCAGTTCATCATTCAATTATGTTTGTAATTTCCAGATTTCAGGGGCCTGAATAATGTTTAGTTGATAACGGACGGAGCTTGCATACGCACCAGAAACTTCTCAGGATCAGCTCCTCCAGCTTGCCCCACAAAGACCCCGGCGCCGGTCTCCAGCTCCATCTCATCGGGGGATCTCTCCAGGCGCATCACCTGAGGGTCCGTGTCACAGTTCAGGTAGAACATCACCTTGTCGTCCCTCACAGCGATGGCAAAGCGAGTCCAGGTGTCTTTCATGGAGGGCGCGAGGAACCGGGCCGCCTCGTAGGACTTCTGGGAGTCGGGCTCCGTGTAGTACAGGATGACGTACTGGTTCCCCCTCTGCACCGCGGACAGCTTCACACCCACGTACATGATCTGCTGAGCGGCATCAGTGATGGAGAAGATGGTGCCGCCCCTTTCGGAGGTGGGTTTCAGGTTGAAGATGAGGGCGAAGTCTCGGTAGAAGGGGCTCGGCAGGTAGGCGCGGGCCAGCTGGCCTGAGTTGGCATCGGGGCCGAACACATAGCCAGGGCTGCTGTCAGGCCCGAAGACCTGAGTGATGGTGCTGGGGGGGGGGGTCCCCAATCAGCTGGAGCAGGGTGACTCCACTTTCTTCTAGAAGGGGAGAGAAAAAGGAGGTGAGGCCACAATATAGGGGATATGTTGGTGGTTAGATGGGAGGGCTGCATGGCAGGGTGTAATGTTAGACCAGGCTTAAGGGAGTGGGACTGATGGATGCAGGAATACTGTAATACTGTTACTTGCATTGGACTCTTGTATAGTGAGTCTTTGAGTCTGTACTAAACCAAGAAAAACAAACATAAGTATAGGTGATAATGTTTTTTAATGATTGTAAACAGCATTAACACATGTCATAAAATGTGGAAGGAAAGTGACCTTGACTGACTCCAAACAACCTGTTGGCTGAGAAGCATTGGCAAAGCAACTTTGCTTAGGGGACCACAAACAAACAAACCAGTTTATAACTGAGATGGAAAGGGTTGACTTGCATTGTAAAAGGCAAAGGGATGGGCCATTTGAGACTAAGAAGAGCAGATTACTTTAGCAGACATTGTATATCAAAGACTAACGACAGACTTCAACTTCAGGACTGAAGTCATCTGATCTTGTCTTTAAAATTCAATGTCTGCTAAAGTGATCAGCTTTTTTAAGGTAATGTATATTCTACAAGATATATTTGGATCTTTAGGCTCGCAGTATCTGAGTCAAACCACTTGAAACATGTTTCTGCATGTGTCAAACACATCTTTATGTTTCTTGTGGAACGTATTAAAATGTTTAAGCCTTATCATTTAAAGTAGTGATAGAATAATTACTACATGGGTTCTCTGCAAAACACTTAGAAAATTGCATCAACGGACCAAAATGTATAACATGGAAATATTACACACAGAAAACTATTACTCTTGCATGCATCCACCATAAAGGAAGAATCAAAACATGTAGAAAGGTCTTGAAGAACTAAATGGGGGCCAAAACACATTAATTCTACCCTAAATGTTCATATTTAAAAAACAGTCTCAAGTTTGTGCATGGCCCTAAAGAACATGTTGCGATATTTGCAATTGTAAGGTTTCAGATAGCCCTGGGTGATCAAATTAAATTGATTTACAAATGGTCTTTATGTGGGTTGATTATTCATAGCTAAAATGTCTTCCAAATATTGACAACTAATACAACTAGGGTGTGAAAAGGCTAGAGATTTATATCTATTCATCACATTCCTGAAGACACTATAAACACTTCTTCCGACTTGTGTGACATCTGCTGAATGTCCCTGCCCTGGGCCCTCAGGGACCAACAGCTGGGCCCCTGCATATCTCTGCTCACTCCTCCATCACCCCGGGTGACTCTGGAGAGGTCAGCGCATAATCATTGGAGGCGTTTAGGAAACACAAGGAACACAAAGAGTGATGTGTGCTCATCCCCATTCTGGTTCGGATGTGTAACTAGCATCAAACTGGAGACTAAACATTACTGCTTTGATCAAAAACAATGTTTCCTCATGTTAAAAGAAAAATCACTGTTTTGGGAGAACGTGTGACGTAGGTTCTTTGAAGAATTGCTTTGGTTTACCACCTGGAGTCTAATGTGCTAGCTCTATTGCCCGGTTCAAAGCCTCCCCACTGCCCCGATGCTGGAGATCAGTGGGTCTGCACTCAGCTCTGTTGAGAGCTTAAACACACGAGGTGTTTAGCTGAACCTGAGGTCCTGCCTTCTGCTGTACGACCATAAACACCAGGCTGAATGTTTGTCTGTCTGAGAACTGAAGATGCTTCCATTTGAATGTGGGAAAAATACTTTCCAGTATAAATGATGCAGTTTCAATATCTGAAGATTCCTCATGAAATGTATTGCACATTTCAAGATGTGTCAAGAACACAAGAACAATCTGGAAAGGCAAGTTTAGTGGAGCAAATGCAAAAAAGTTTAAAAGTGACGTGCGTTACATGACTGTATTGTGTGGACCGTCTTACTTATACTCTTTGGATTAATTACAAAGTAGCATAATTTTGAATTTCGAATAAGCGTGCTAAAAGCTACAAGCTTAAAGAGGATTCAGATCTTTATGTATCTTCATAAAGATATGAGATCTCCAAGACCTTAGCATAAAACAAACATTTGCTTCCTAAATGAGTCAAAGTTGACGCAGAGTCCGAGTTTCAGAACACCTGAGGCCGACCCTGAATCCTGAACTGTTGCATGAATGGCAGGGAACAATAAAGTCATTTGCACCAGGCCAACCAGATGTCTCCTCTGATAAACTCAGAATGAGAAACCTGGAGGGTCTCTTCAGTGGGCCTGCGCTCACACGTCTACACTGGCTCCCTCTTATATCTATCTGACAGACTAGGGGAGAAAAAGTCTAAACTTTACAGTAATCCAGTAGTTAGTGGGAAAACACGCCAGCTCCATTTTGACATCTTGCTTGTGAGCTATTTTTAAAGCAGGAAAACTCCATAAATGAGCATGTGTCACAACTGAATGATGACATTTGTACTCAAAATGTCTCCATTTACAGCGATTCACTTCTTCAATCATTTGCATGGAACATGTCATTTGTTAACCTTAAGCAGCTAATTATGAAAAATATTGGATTTGTATGCAGATTGGACTTCAATGTCTGTAATCAATTGGAATGTGAGCTTAAGGCCCCGCTCACACGGGACCGTTTGCGTTTATGCACAGTATGCGTATTCAAAAAAGTCTTCCGTTCACATGCATTTGTTTCATTTAACGTGTCTGTTCAAACGAGACCGCTGGAAACGCTGTAGTACATATGCCGGGACTGTAAGTGGCGCTGTAACTTCCGCCACAAAATACACCAAAAGCAGTGAAGAAGACTCCGCAGCAGCCCCGCAGCAATGTTGCCATGGCTACCCTTCTGTTTACGCCCCGCCGTGGATTTAGCAACATGTAGTTCATGTAATTCTCCATGTCCACTTGTTGCTGATGGTTGTGGTAGAGGAGCTGTAGATTTTTGCACTAATATCTGTAGCATGGTCAGTAGCAGTAGCACTAGCAGTAGCTACTGACAGGAGGAGGAGCATGTCTCCGTGGAGAGGACTCGCTCAGAGAGATATTCTCTACAAACACCGGGTGAGATCCTCCTTTGTCAATATAATGGATCAATGCATGAAATCTGACTCTGTTTATTTTGTTTAAGGAGTATATTGGGCGTTAACAATTCTGGTTTGCCTTTTATAATATTATTTCATTCAAGAACCCCTTGTGCGTTTAATTAACACAGCCATGCTACAGCAGTGAGCAGGAGAGGTGGGGAAAGGTGGAGCTATCGTTATTTTTTCAGGAAATATTCGTATAGAGGTGATTACACGGACTCGGTTGACCCCCCAGAGCGTTTCGTTTGCAAATCTATACACCTTGGGACCCGTTATTGTTTGTGGGGTCAGTTTCTATCGGCCTCGTGTAAATAATAGGGCTATACGCACGCGAAACTATGCAGATACAAGCAGTTTTCTCCTCGTGTAAACGGCGCCTTAAATGTGAGTCTGGCTGGTCATACAGGCTGCATGTAAGGCCATCCTTTGCTCCCAAAAGTCAAACAGCTGATATCCTAATGCATCCTCACACATGCATGCATATTCCAAGCTCCTCAAACCCCTCATTAGGGAACCATCTCACCTTTTAGTCATCACTCACACCCACCAGATGTGCACTTTGTTGGACTATGTGTAGAATGTACCCAAACAGACGATGGTCTGACACTAAATGCTAAAAAGTATCACTTTTCAATCCTGATGTAATTGTGCCAGACACTAGTAAGGACAATTTCATTTCCCGACTTTAAGCAAATACAAAGGTTTGACCTGCTTTAGGCTTGTAAAGGATTGCTTTTGCTAAATCCGCTTCAACGTGCCTGCATTGTCAGCAATGGGCCAGCCAGTCATTCCTTCACAGAGATCAGAAATCATTGGGTACACAAAAGGTGTCCATTAGCATTTTAAGTGGAAACTCAATGCAGGTTTTACAAACTGCTTTTGTTAACCAATGACAGCTTCAAGGCCGATGGGGTATAGAAAAGGTTTGTTGATGAATGGAGCGGTGCTGAGTTTATGGTGCTATAGTGTGCCTTGTCAAGAAGGCGGCTTAGTGTCCAGGAACACAGCACTTTTTCATGTCCTAACATTCCAGGTTGGGGGTACCACAGTTTGTGATACCCTGTTGATAAAGCTGTATATACAGTGTGAGGCTGTATACGCAGCTTTGGGAAGAACGGGACGCTGCGTAATCCATGGGAAAACATTTGAACATCTGGACAGTCTGAGAAAACGTTGCTGTTTCACTGCTCCATCACCATTTAAAACATCCCTTGAGGCGTGCTGACAGGGACAATGAACTATCCCGTCACTCTGCAGAAAAAGCTAGTCGGTGGTTTGACCTGCGTTTTTAGTGTCAGAGTTCACCTATGGAGACGTAAAAATGACGACCCCATGATTGTAAAGAAAACATTTCAGCAATGCTAATGCTTCAGCACAAAGTATGTCTGTCGTACTTTCAGCCAATTGATTTGAAAGTGAAGTTAATTAGATTTGGTCACATGAGATGGTGCTCTTTGCTCTCTGCTTATTTGATTCTTGTTTGATCTTAGTTGCAATGTCTGTCCGTCTTCTTACAGGGCTAAAGGGAGTCCTGTTGTGCTTATAATGTTAAATCAATATCAAGTACTTGGTGCAAAATGACATAATGTTTTTGATTTGTTTTGCTAAGACACATTTTTACCAGCAGCACTTTATTCTTCTTGTCTTATATCAGGGAATATGGTACCATCATTACTACAACTCAAACAAACTGCAATATCATTACATGTATAGTGGCATATAGCTCTTTATCCAAACCGGTTTCCACTAGAAAGCGTGTATGTAATACGTAAGTAAATGGAACAATTAGCACAGGATGTTTTTAATATAATAGGTGCACCTTCCTTGAATGAATGTTCCTTTCTTTACTGAAAAAGCATATTCTATGAATTCAGGGCAAAGTTTGCGGTGTCTTTAACCTGTAGAGAATACTCGGAAACAGATATCAAACTAAAACCCACATCACAGTCCAGGAAGGAGTTTTCATGTTGTCTCGCCCTGAAGACTGTAATTCTCAAGCCACAAAAAGGAAGATGGGCCTACCACAAGCTGTGCACTTTAGGGGGGGGATAAATAAGATACTGTTCAAGTTCTCTACTGTACTTGTAAGTGACAAACTCTAATGAATGATTCTTTAGAACTCCTGAAGAACATAGTGTGTATGATATTCACAGAGGCAGAGGTGAAATGCTTCTAAAGAAGTTAAGAGCTAATACCTTTTACCATCCCTGTGCCTCATTACTGCGTTTTGTACCGGTTCAACACAAACCAGAGGGGGCAATGAGTTTCTGGCAGCAAAGAAGTGGAACTACGCTGTGCCCATAATTGGAACCCTCCTGAGAGCCAAGTCAAAATCATTCCCTGGCAGGCTGCGCGCTGAAGAACCGGAGCCAGCTTTGGGCCTTCCTGTTATGAGATACAATATCAATCTCAGCTCAAAGGAACCATGGTGCTACAAATCATTGTCAGACCACCATAAGGGTGTACAAGCCACAACACAAAGTCTAAATGTACACAGAATTCACCCAAACAGAAGTGTTTATCTTACAGGAAATCTACCGTTTCATGTTGTAGACCACCAGAGGGGCGGCCGGGGACAGGAATCCCCTTTATTATCAATTAAAGGAGCCTAAAATTGCAGTTGACCTATAGACCCTGATATGAGTGACTGCTCATCTTCCAAGCAGGGGACTGGTAACCATGGAAAACATCATTAAAAGGGCTATTATGCCCTAACAATAACTTCTTACCACAGGGGCAGCCCCCCCCCCCCATGGTAAAAGGATCACATCTGACAGATTTCTTACAATGTTTCCATGCCCCAAACAATATCTCTGCCATCTTCCCACAGCGACCTCCCACATACACACATCTAAAGCCCCGGACACACCAAGCTGACACCAAAGAACTGACACAGACGGACCCCCGACTGTTGTGTCGCCTCGCGTCTCTGCGTCTTGGCCAAGTGTCGCACTGGAACACACCGCAAAGACTTCAGCGGCACGGCTGAAAAGACACGACGGTGCGGGACACACCAATCTGAGTAGGGCGTGTCGACGCTCATCGTCGGCCTGACGCCCATCGAGGGCCAGAATCGGCTTGGTGTGTCCGGGCCTTAAAGGCTACATGCAAATACTTAACTTTATCTCTCTTGTGTTCTTGCCCCATGCCAAGGGCCTAACTTTAATTCCATCCAATATACCAGCTCAAGAAGTAAGTATATCATGAGACATTCTTGCATGACAGGTCATAGTTATATGATGTAGGAGTAGGGTGGTATTAACAAGAATATGAGTTCCCTCCTCCCACACATCAAGCAAACAAAGCTGCAGACAGTCAAAGCTCCCTAGACCCTGCATGGCGGGGGCTCTGATCAGTGAATTTAAGAGGTCAAAGGGCTCCTAAGTGGGAAGGTGCAGTAGAAAACAGCCCAAGATAAAGTTATTGGGCCAATTAACTAGGAAACAGGGCATTTTGGGCAGCAGGGCACACATTTACAGAGCTTTGGAACAAATGATCTTGGCTTTTTACGTATGACCTCATTTAGTTGTAGGCCAAAGCCCACCAAGCTGTTTACTACTTCTAAAACATTACCAGTATGCCTTCTTGCTGTAGCAGGGAGACATTGGCATAGGCACATGAGGCATTTTGTCAGTACAAACCATGTGATGAATGCTCATAAAGGCAACGTCTAATTGACTCAGAAGTTTAGTTATCTTTCGGAAATGGGGGGAAAGCGAAGTCATTTCTTATATTTGGTTGATTGAGGCTCATCTGAACATCACACCAACAAGCAGTGTCCAGTGGTGAATTTTAAATATCGCTGTGTTTGTATGAGTGATACCAGATGGGCTAGACTGCGCTGGCGTTCTGTCCAACCAAGAATGATTTAGAGAGACTGAAAGCATCTCAGTGATACCTCGGGGGCAACTCAAACAGGTGATACCCAAAATGACGTCGAAAACAACCAGCGTCTGGAGAGCCAATAAAAGCCGTCCTCAGGTAGTAAATATGTCTACAAAATCATAGTTTTTAAATTTCCCTTAGGCTGCAAATATCAATGTCAGAGCATTTAAACCAACTCCTTACACGTTATTTAACACAAACACTTGTAGTGTAAAGCTTTGCCGTAAAAGTCAAAAAGCTAACACATGAATTGTGTGGCTTTTACAACAAGACAACATAAAACCTCGCCTTAACCCTAACCCCCCAGATGAAGAAAAAACACCAGCACCTTGTATATCAACACAGAAAGTAACACATCTATTTGGGCCCAGATGCATCACTTAGTCTTGGAACCGGAGACATCTTGTCCACTCATGTCTGTCAATGAAGCCAGGTGTCAGATAGATAGTGGAGCTGTAAAAAGACACAGTCTTGAACTCTGAGTGATCTGAAGTGAAAGAGGAGTGCAGGACAGTTGCCTAGTAAAAGGCTTTAAAGAAGTACAGAACTTTAGACAAAGCTCTAACCCTACTTTGAAAGAGACATTTCACCAAATAAAAGCTGTCCTGGTATTTGACATGCAAAATTCATTGAATATATGCATTCAACTGTTTAAATCATTCACTTTGTACAGCCGTTTGCTAGCTGTAATAAATACTTTTTTTCAAGCACAGAAAACCACTGAAGCAACATGACTGCTTCCCATGCATGACGACTTCATCTGTCCATTCCTGGACAGACAGATGCTCATGGAGCTGACTGCGAGTCCCTCACTGTCAAAAGAGACATGCAATTCTACATGCCGAGTTATCTACAGTTTCCATGCACACGTTGTTCTCAGAAGACAGGCCCCTGTCTTGTGCAATTCCAGATGCATTCATGCTAATAACAAAAATATCCTAAAAAGCACAATATTTAATCAGTGCTTCATAATTTACTAATGAATTAAAATAATCTATGTTTTTTTTTACTGATTTTGCTTTACTACAATCTGTATTACAGGATAAGATATATGGAGCGTACGAAACCATGTAATTATTACCCTTTAAATTCATAATTTACTGAAAATATACATAACTTGGTTTTGAAATTAACCATAAACCCATTTACTGTACTGTGTGTGTGTGTGTGTGTGTGTGTGTGTGTGTGTGTGTGTGTGTGTGTGTGTGTGTGTGTGTGTGTGTGTGTGTGTGTGTGTGTGTTGTTATAATAACCTTCAAGTTGTAAGTCACATGCATTCCAAAGGACAAGGGAAGCACAGACATGCAACATTGTAGGATTGTAGGGCAGGAGGGTTGGCACCATGCTTGTTAGGCTAAAGCCAGAACTTTGACCTTTTAACAAACTTGAAGCATGCTTATTTTTTCTTTAAATTATTTTGCAAGGGAACCAGGGTATAGTTAATATCAATGACTGTGCTGAAAGGGATAAATGTCCATTTTTGGGGTTGGGTATCGGGTATTGGGTTTTGGGAGGAAACACCAGACAAACTGGAGAATAGGGACACTGAAAACTGGTTCAAATGAATCCTAGTTTTGGGATTCATTTGAACCAGTGATTACCTTTCTGGTTACTAACTGACAAGCACTGATACCCATCATCCTCTTCTTCTGGTAGAGTGTGGCACTCCAGAGGGAGTTGTCCCTCATCCAGGAGTGTCCAGCAACTGTCCCGCAAGACTTCGCAGAAACTCCGGCAAGGCAACATCGGCTCACCGCCACATTTTGGTACCAAGAGAAGGCAGAAAAACCACTCCAAACTATGGTGGCAAGGTGACTTCAACAGCCACGCCCATTTGATTAGGAGTACCTGGACTTCCTCCACACTGCTCTGGTTAAGGTAATTGGGCACAACAAAACGTTCCCCTATCATGGAGGAGCAGAAAGGGAGAGCAGTATCTAGCAGCAAGCATTGTGGGGATTCTACAACAAGTGCTGATTTAGCTTCTTCTGTGTGGCTTTCAGCTTGTGCCCACCCACCTGTTGGGCTGATTAGGATTGCTTGGCTAGGCTCACTTGCTGATGTTTGAGTAGGGTCTAACATGTGACCATTTTGACTAGTCACCACATTCTGGCTAACTGCTGATGCTTGACTGGGTTGTTGGGCAGCTCTGGGAAAAAAGGCAGGTCTCTTGCTAGTTTGTGGTTTGGTCATTACAATTTGTTGGATATGAATTGGTATTTGGGTTGTAGAAGGTGCCTGGCTAGCTAATGGAAAAGGTCTAGTCTGTAACACTTGATTAGGTAAAGCTTCCTGGTTGGCTGGTAATTGAGCAATTTCCACTACTTGGTTATCCTCAGGTATCTCTGTGGTCTCTACAGAGTTTTTGCCCACAATTGGGGTTAGTACATATTTTGTGGTAGAGTTTTCTTTAGAATACATCGTAATATCAAAGAAACTAGAGCTACTGTTAAATGTTCTATTTCCTCTAGTATTATTAGTTGTTTCAACAGAAAAAAGATTTGGCTCTGATGTTGTGCTTCCAAGATTATTGTCCTCATTTATGCTTTTAGGACTGATCCCGGCACTCTTTTGAAACTTTAATTTTTGCTCATTAGTTTGGGATTCTAAAATGTCTCCACTATCTAACGCCCATTGCTCAGTGGGCATTACTATTCCTTGCTGGTTTTCATCAGAAACCCCCTGTGTTTCAAAGCCAGATCCTGATGCAAATCCAGATTCAGCCTTGAATCCAGAGTCAGACCAGAGGCCTGACCCAGTTTCTGAATCCAATTCAGACCCAGGCCCAGATCCCAGTCCTGAAACATCTCCTGTAAAACTTAAATAACCAGATCCTTCAGAACCCATACCCTTTATAGAAGATTTGCCATTACCAGGTTTACGAATGCGTGATGAAATCCCTTCTGTTCCCTTTTCTGATGTACCACCACTCTCTGGTTGTGTTGTGGGTTCTACAGTGGTCAGTCGAAGTCCCTCAGTGGTCTGGTCCCATGTCTGCACAACCTTTTGGATCCCTTGTCCCTCATCAATCATCTCAGATCGAACCATTGCGATATTCTCTGATGAAGGTTCTCCACTACCTTCTGAACTGCCAGATCCCTCATGGTCCACTGTTGGGGGCATAGTTGTAGTACCAGTCCAGCCCCAGAACCAAGCATCAGAGTAGACCACCAAGAGGGTCAACAAAAACAAAACTCCAAACGAGGTCCTCATTTTAGCCATAAAGTCAAATCTTGACCACGTCCACCCACTTGATTAAACTCCCTGAGTGAACTGTGACATGTCCTCTCTGCCACTACAATCCTCACACACACTTTTCAGCACTGTCTCCACACACACTCCACCAGGCAGAGAGGAAAAGTGAAGAGGAGTGCCCCATTCAAAAGAGTAAAGGGGGAGAGCAGGAGGAGGTGTCCTCCGCATTGGCTGGCCTGGCAATATTTCTTCTCCTAACTCCTCCTTCCTCCTCCTTCTCCTCCTTTTGTCACAGCAGTGAAAAGCGATCTCTCCTGCTGACTGATACCTTATAATGACGGCAGCTTTGCCTTTCAGTCTACAATGCTGATGCTTTCAGTGTTTTAAAGAGGAGGGCAATTTGTTCCCCTTGACTTGTTCTTTTTGTTTTAACATGACAATAGTAAACTACAGATTTAGCTTAAAAGAAACTCCAAACTACCTTGGAAGCAACAGTTGTACCTTTGTAATGAGCTGATTTCAACAAAAAGAATAACATGCTAAATGGTGGTGTAATCCCCTCCAATGAATAGTCTCATTCCACTGCAACACCAACATGAAATGGACTGGATTGTCTTAACATATAGACCGAGACAAGGCCTTAATTCACACAGTATCCAGGCCTCACTTTCTTGTCCAGACTGGTTCCCCATACTGCCAATGTGATCTGTTGACAGAGACCCTAAACATCTGCTAATGGGAGATTAGTCATAAAAGGAACAGGAGGTTTGTGCAAGGTTTTCTCTAAAAGCACCAGGGGTTTCAAATAAAGGCAGGTATTTTGTGTGTGTAACCTCAGTTGCTGATAGAACGAAACACTTGTGCACAGCATGCAACTAGCCCCATAAAGGTCCAAGATGCTCATGTTGCGATGCTATCTTAACACTAGCTTGACAACTTGATCCTGTAGCTCTCCGTTATGGCCTGGGGTCACTGATGATCTGCCTGACCCCTTTCTCCAGGATTATGTGTGTTTAGTCTAATACACAGCGGAAAGGGAACACCAGAGACATTGTAAAGTAACATGGAAAATATTGTCAAAATGAAAAGCAGCCAATGTGACCTACTTCAATAAACAAAACGGGAAGGCTCACTTAGTTATCACAAGGCCAAGCTATTTTGCACCTTTTGCCCTGATGACAATTTCAATAAGAGAAAACTATTATCTGTAATCATATGAAAAGCAGCTTCCTTTTGGGCAATACTAAGGGACTTGTGATTGCCTTGAGCTAATGTGTGACTTTTATTTAGAAGAACATTTGTTCCTTCAAGGAAGAAAAAAGAACATGAGAATCTGCCACCATTCAAATGTTTTTTTTAAAAAAGGAGACAACCTTAAATATATAAGTTATATCTTAATCCTCATTTCAGTAACATAATTCTAAGAGGCTAGTTGTAGCATGATCACAATACATTCAGATAAGTTGACCCTCTAGGCAAGCAGGGGTTTGCACTCTTAACCAAGCAATGGTTCACTCTAAACCTGTCAAAGTAGAACATTTAATTATAGCAGTAGCTTGAGAAGAAAATGACTTTCAAGGTGACTTTCAAGCAATGCTATGCAAAAAAAGCGAAGACGTGAAATATTTTAGGAAAACGTTAAAAGTGGACTGCTCATACTGTACATTCTTAACCACAACCTAATGTTTATAGTAGGGATTGGGTTAATATACCGGTAATGAATAGCCTCAGCTCCACTGGCATTATATTGCATAGGTTAAAATAAAAAACAGCAATAATTAATGACAGCAGAAAGGCCTTTCCTGTTCTATACTTCCCGTCTCCTGTGGGGAGTCCCGCCAGCATGATTTCCACTTTAATGTTGTCCTTTTCTGTTCTTTAAACAACACAGGATGCCAAATCCTAAGGACTTACAGAATTTAGACAGAAAGTGGAGGTAGTAGTCCAAAAGGGATTTAGGCTCTAATCAGTGTTATTATTCCAAAGATGACAATGACTGGAGGATGTTTTTCTATGACAGCAAGAGATTTTACAGAGTTCGGAAATGTTCATTCAGACTTGAAAAATGGGAAACCTGCCAAAAGACTTGGGTGGCCAAGCACATACCCTGTCACCTCAAAACTAGGAAACAGTCTGCTAACTTGGAAAAACCTGACACGAAAGGTAGAAATGCACTCAATAAGGGGAAGTACTGTTGTGCTCGTGGAGTGACAGTTTTTTTAGCACATAATCTGCAGATATCATAACATACCTTGGAATTTGTTAAAAGTCTCTCTTTTCCACATCCCTTTAATGTCTACTGATACCGGTGAGTACAGGCTGCGAGAGTCATAATGTCAACACGGCCAGAAGATTTCCTGTTTTCAGGAGTGGCATTTGTAATTGGAACGGGTAATTACAGTAAGAACGATTGAAAAGTTTGCACAGGGCTGTACGATGAAGATGGAAGAATCTAAACAAAGAAGCGCATCCACTGAACACTGCTCTGCAACGATGGTCCACTTTTTGAGGGGAAATGAAATTGGTCAGAAAAGCAGTTATTTGCAGGTTCTTTCAGAAACGGCAACAAGATTTCCCTGTTGGACTAACGATCAAAATGTTGCTGTCTTTTGACGGATAACTGTTTCAATTAAAGGACAATGTTCATACAAAAATGTTCGTGTAAATATGGTTAATATTTGTGACCAATGCTGATATGAAATATGCATAAAGCTAAGATTTAGGATCTCATTCTAGGCTAATAGAAGATCATCCTTAGTATAAGCTAATATAACCTGACAAATTAAATGGTTCCTGTTCTGGAGACTTCTGTGCTTTATTAAGGGTTTAACAAATATAAGAGGACCATAATGTTCAAAGTTTTCTCTAGGAATCTAAAGTACAAAACATTTGAACATTTCAGGACTTTGACAATGTGCTGGAAACTTCTGAAGCAATGGAGACGAAACTCAGAGAGACACGGGGAGAGCAGGAACTTTGATGGCAAACAAACACTGATGGTTTATTATGGAGTTACTGCCAGAGAATTTGACAAGACATGTGCTGCCGCCACGAGGCGACACAGCGGTTGCCAAACAAATTCTGAAGATCTCTACCCCAGAGCCATGTATTTAGCTGGTTCTGAGAGAATAATCAACATTCTGCATAACAAGATAAAACAGGCAAAACACTATAACACCTCTATCAGCTGACGCCAGCAGACAGGAACAGGGAGACCAAACACTGAGAGCACAGCCTGTGCTCAGCGAGGGCAGTACAAACTGATACACTGGGTCAAAGTTATAGGCCTAGGAGAATATTTCCCCAACAGACACCAATCATGGCATTTCATTCACATCTAGGTGGTAGCAAAATCAACACATAAAACCTATATTGTGTAACGGATTATAATAATGTTCAAAATGTTCAATGTTTACGGGAGAGTTTGATTACCGAGATGATAAATAATTATTTCCATCATTATTTTTAAAAATAACCGTATAAATAAGTTTGCAATGAAGTCAGTTTATGTGGAACCAGACTATACAGTACAAATACTAATTTCATGCATATACTGTTTGGTTTTCAAGTCTGTTTTGACTTCTCCAGTTTAACCATGAATACTGTTTATTTCTCCTCCTATAAGTAAAGAAAGGCTTTTCTTACACGACTGTGTTGATATTGCAAAGTGGCATTCCTTATGAATGTCTTTAATGTCTGCGACCTGTGAAACCCTGAGATGTTTGAGCAGGGGATAAACTGAAATTCCAGGCCCCCCCAGTGTCTGTCCTCACAATACACAGACAAAAGCGTGAAACCTAAGACCAGGAATGAGTCCGAGGGCTGAGACCATCAATGGGAGGATGAATGATCGACTAATTACAACACCAACAAAACCTGCTGAACATAATCCACGAGGGGCTGAAGGAGTCCAATTATCTGTCACGGGAGTATTTTATGCCAAACTGTCATTCAGATATCCAATCTGATGTGCAGGGTGCTAATTTCATCACTGCTTAATATAGCTTTTGTAAATAAGTAAAGAATAAGAGGGCATGTGTGTGAAACACAATCTCCTACACAAATGGCACTGGAAAGAGAGGAAGTACACGTTCCAATAGCTTTTTACAGTAAACCTTCTCCATTGAGCTTATTGTTAACTTAACGCAATAAATTACCCTTAACTTCTTAAAAAATATAAGTATTTTGCACCTTTCTCATTCAAAGGCTTTACAGAAATTCAGGGTTTCTGTTGCAAGGCAATTCAAGTGTCTTAGACCTAAGAGAGACGCATTACACAAGATGCACACAGGTTGACAATACAGAAACGTGAGGGTCTATTTATCCGTAGCCCCTAGACAAGCTAACAAGCCTTTTGGCGGTCCCCCCCACCCCCCACCCCCTGAACCTTCACTGATGTTATTTCAGCAAGTGGGGGTCGTTGCCCTCTCGCTGTGTAGTGACCATCTCAGTGGTTATACGAGCGCTAAGTTCCGACGCACTCAGAGCTGGACGTTTTTTAAGGACACACACATTGGGATGTCCACAGACCGTCGTGAACGAGCCCACATGTGGTTCGAATACACGTGCACACACACAAACACAAGCTAACTTAGGCCGTACAGCATGTCACAGCTGAGCAGCATTGTAAACAGTAAGACTCACAAACTGTAGTGAACATATGGCTGACACACACACACACACACACACACACACACACACACACACACACACACACACACACACACACACACACACACACACACACACACACACACACACACACACACACACACACACACACACACACACACACACACACACACACACACACACACACACACACACACACACACACACACACACACACACACACACACACACACACACACACACACACACACACACACACACACACGACTCCCCAGCATGTCACAGCTGAGCAGCAGTGTAAACATTTCTCGTTTTGAATCAACTGCAAAGAAGGAAATACCTGTAAAATCATTATCTGAAAATGTGGCCGTCTGCATTCTGTATTTCCTTGTTAGCTAAAGCAGAACTTGGCTC